GGTAGTTAGAGTTCCTTTTAAATAAGTTTGCATGTTGAATGGAACGGTGGGTGAAGCTCTTGTTACTCTCTCAAGTCTGACATTGAGACACCAAGGGTTTTATCTCCCACTTTGAGAATGAAGAACAAGGGACACAGTCTGTTCTAATGACAGAGCAGGGTTGTGAGCACACTGAATAATTCCTGGATAAGCACCAGCCAAAGATAAATGTCATTGTTTGGCACTGTGATATTAGCAGACATTAATGGTAGTCTGATAAATACCATTCCCTGATTCTTTTACTCATTTTACATTTGATGTATTTATACAATACTCAAAATGTGTCAACCCTACGACTCCACTACATATATCGTCCTTCCCATGTAAACAGGAAGCCTAAGGAATCAAAGGTCGCTGGACTACACCTCAACACCAGCTGACAAAATAATCAGAAAGGCTGCTCTACAGCGTTTGGAAGGAAACCATAAGAAACCAGTGCAGCTTTGTGCTTTTCTGTATTTATTTTTTAAAAGGCTGCTTCTCCAACAACAGCTTGTTCACTCGCTGGAGGATAAATAATGGTTAAAAATTGACGCCAGTGCTGCTACATCTGTGCCGTCCAAACACCAACAAGAATGCCCCCTGCTTTGTGCTCGTAAGCTGATATGGAGAATCGCGTGTCTCCAACCGGCGATATGCTGGGATGGAAAATTCACAGTTCTGTTGAATACGTTGACAGTATCAGCAGAAAATACATCTTCTTTTCAATCATAGGTCACATTTAGATTCATCTGTCAAAGAGATATTTCTGCATCAGAGCTATGAATGTGTAAATGGCTTTTCCACTTTCATTTTTTTCCCCCCATCGGCATTCTTTCACTGCTGCTCTGCATTTGTTCCTTATCCTCTTCTACCTGTCTGTTTTCTAGACACATGCATCATATCTCCCTGCCACCGCGCTATAAACCACGGCACAAACACAATCTGCTATATGTCCTCCTCAGGGTTGCCCTAGCAACACACACCAATGCATCTCCTCCGCCAACAAAACGATAAGTTACTATCTATAGCCGTATAGGTGACTCTCTTAGAGTTGTCCTCGAAGTAGAGTGGTTGTGTTGGCGTAATAGAAGCCGTCCTTAGCAGAGCCGCATGCATAATTCAGTAGTGGACCTCATCCCGGCGCTTATTGTCTGGAGACCGGAGGCCGTTGATAAGAGATAACCTCTGCTGCAGCCTTAGTCACTCGGAAGAATCACCAGCAGGAGTGAAAACGGGTCAACTCTGCTGACCCCTCGGGCTTCTTTATGTTGCCACAGCACAGTGACATTTTGTGACAAGTCTGACAGTCCACCCTGCAGTGCCACATGTACCACACCAGCCTTGACCGTGAAGGGCATAGTGAGAGAATGATGATGTTTGAAACCCAAGGTCACAAGGAAGATTTGGAGCGTGTAGGTGGCGCAGACCAAGGTTCTGTTTATGAGCAGCACTTATTCCTTCCACTCATAAAATTGTAGGACTTCACATTAAGGCCGAAGCAGCCACGTATTTCATTTTGTCTGTCTGTAGTTGCTAAAACCTGACAACTCTGGGGGGGGTTCTACTGTACTTGGTGGGATAAGGAGGAGGGGTTTGGGGGAAGGAAGCGGAACAAAGAAGAGGCACGAAATGGCCAACTTCTCTAAAATCTCATTGTCAGCATATCTGTCAACCAGTCCAGCTTAAAAATGATTGTGCCACAGTGGGGAACTTTCATTTATTTAACTGACTATTATAATTTCCATTATTTATGTACCCCCCATTTGACTCAAGGGCAGATGTGAGAGGTTTGCAAAAATGCAAAAATCTTCAGTGCTTGGCTCGAATCAGCTATATTTCTAGTAACATATTTCACTGACAGATCTTCATCAGTGGAATAAATTATATCAAAAGTATCATAGTAGAAAACATTTTCTCTTTAATCAGGCCACATTCTGCATATTGAATAGATGTCTCCTCATTCATTTAATTAGAAGAGTCATTGTATGTGATTCTCTTTTCCTTTGACATTTCATCACAGCCAAGGCTAAGCTGTAAGGCACAATGAAAAGGATTTGTTAAACCTTCCTCATTCATTTTATGGAGACATTGACAGGATTTGATAATTGTCATAATGTGCAGTTAGTAAAGATGGATTTAATATAAGGAGATAGAATTAACCAATAATCCTTTAGGTTTTCAACCTCTTAATGAGTATTTCTATTTTATGTTGTTTGTTTTGTTTTGTTTTTTTAGTTTAACTGCAAGTGGTTGATCCAAGGTTGTGTTATTTAACATCTAGACACCTTGTGTTCTCAGTGACATGGCTGATTTTTCTCACTTTCAGCATTTAGAGAGCTTAATAACCTCATTGACATACTGAGATCTAGCCCATAAGTGAATGGATATTAGCTCACGAAAAAGTGGAGCTCACACTGAGGTGGGTTGCAAAGCAGCTTGCAGATATGGAGTGAGAGACAAGCTGTTAAATCATGCAGCATATCTGAGATTGCCAAGAAGAATAAATGAGCCATGGGCTGATCTGCCAGTAAAGTGGCTGAGCTTGACTTTGTGGCTTTCCATTACTAACTTTAGTCATTAGTGCAGAATATTATTGTGCTTGGTTTTCATATATGATATACCGTGTAGTAGACTGGTGACCCATCAAAGGTGCTCCTTGTCTGTCATCCTATGAGAGAACAAGGACAAGATTCCCTATTTGATCCCAAGAGGAGACAGAAATCCCTTTTGGAGCTGCATCAAGAAAGGCATCCAGTGTGGAAATCCACCAAATCATGTGACAACCCCCTTCTGAATAAGGGGGCAGCCGAAAGTAGCTTAAAGTGATAAAGAGGACTTGCACAGCATAACGTTTTCAGACTTAGTTTGTCTAGTACGAGTGACGATTTAGGGATAGGTCTGTTCCCCATAATTCAACGCGGTATTCTCTTCATTTGCCAGTCCCTGCTGATGAATAACCTTTTCTGTGAAGTCTCCACTTTATATCACACTTTCTCTGTCAAATATTTTTGATGCCTGGCTCAAGCCAGTACTGGTGACCTCTCAGACTTCAGAGGGCTTCATCCAGAGCCACAGAATAGCTTATACAGCTGTTTTTTGAAGTGCTGTTAGTGATTGTCATGAAGATGAATTTAATCTTTTTTTTTTAATTTATTGTGTGTGTATATGTGTATTTTGTCCTTTTTTAGCATTTCATTATCTTGACTGATACCACTTCACTAGTTGGTGTCCCAGTAAGCCCATTTCCTTATGTTAATTTCCCCAAAGTTCTCTTATTATACCGGTTAAAATATTACTAGCTCAGCTTAACTCTTTTTTTTTGTATAAGTAGAACCAATAGCTAGAAATTTTATCTCAGAATTTTCTCATATCCGATTTGGCAGCAGTTGCCTGTCTCATCCGGCAGTTTCGCATTTATCAGTTTTAGTCTGCTGCACACGAACCTCATTATATTCCCTCAAACACAGTGACAAGGGTTTATGCAGCCTGGCTTTTAGTAAAGTCCCAGTCGTGCATTAGCTGGTGGAGTGCTATCCTCTCGCACCTCTTATTTTCCATAATAAAACACAGCTCAGCAAATCTGTGTGCCGCATGCATAAAGGAGAGCCACCCTTGTGTCAGCCCAGGTTAGTCACAAAAGGAGCACCGGCAAAGAAGGAATGTCTGCTCAGATTTTAATAATCCCACATCATTTGGTGAGGAATGAAGATGAATTGTTTGCAGCTCGTTGTTTCAGAGATCTCAGCTGTTGCATTCTGGGCAGTTTGCGCCACTGAAGCATGAACAGCGTCTATAGCACTGCAACATGGCACCATTAGTGGCCTACATATCAGCTATGCTGCTATGGCATACATGGTTAGTTACTCTTAACCTACTTCCATGCTGCCAGGCGAACTCCAGCAGGAACGTTTTCTTCTATCTTGAAAAGCTCAGAACAAGAAACACCAGAGACATCGTGACGTTGTCAATCAACCCCATCCCACCAGCTCCGCTCACATAAAGACTAAGATGCTTGGCATTACTCCAGCACACTCAGTACAGTCAGAGATGTTAGCGTACACACACATTCACTTGGATGAACTGTACACGCACGCGTATCTGCCAGTCTTCATCCCATCACAGGACTAGTTTCTGTTGCGTGGCAGGGCTTTGTTGGGGAGTTGACAGCGAAGGTTGCTTCATAAACCCGGCGCACGTCCATCAAAATCTCCCCCGCTGCTTTGAGAATGAAGGGAAGTGATGATCCAGGGATTTTTTTTCTTCTCTGCCCTATTAACTCACTGTATCACCTTGGCAGTGTTGTATTCTGTCACCAAGGCTACCAGGATGGCAGGGGGACACTTGGGAAGAAGAATGGTCAGTCTTCCGCAAAAAAATAAAAAATAATAGTCTTCCACACAAAAATAAATAGTTAAATGTCGGATTTAGTTGTGCTTTAACTAAGATCGAGGAAGAGCGTGTTTGAAGGGCGGTTGTAGGTGAATTAGTGGTTGTGTCCGGTTCGTGAAATAAAAATGTCTTCGCATAGAGGCTTCTGTGTGTCGACTTCGTGCATGTTGAGGAAGTGACTGTTGACAGACTGGAATATGTGTGCGTCCCTGTCCTGCCTCGACAGCAGTCCAGCATAGCTCAGGGATTGCACATCGCTACGTATATGCAAATTGCAGTGTCACACTGATCAATCCTGTAGGCTGCTGAGACAGGGTTATGTCAGGACTAGTCAGCAGCATCTTGGCTGTCTGTCTGCCAGTCTGTTTGTCTGACCTGTTCCACACTGTTTCTGTATTGCACTCTTCTGTTGGATGCTTTGCTCTCCGCTTCTCCTCTTCAGGAATACTTCTGCCAAGTTGACCTACTTGGCAAACTATTCAGTGGCTGTAATTTGCTTCTGTTTCCCTATTAAGCACAGAATGTATTTGCAAATCAAAACTTTGTGCAACAAGTTTAACTAAGTCCAGTGTCTTTCTTTTATTCTACAGGATGCAACTTGAATAAAACATATCCTGTGGGAGTGGAAGGACACAGAAAGGTGGTGTTGGACGACCTTGTCAACAGGGATCTGGGTGGAGGAGAGAAGATACCAATCAGGCTGTGAAAACTCAGACTTTTGAGCATATTAGCCAATCATGCTTTAGCACAGAGGAGAGGCTGGTTTATTGGCGGAGAAACACCCACTGTATTTTTACCAAACACTCCTTGGTCATAAACAGACACATTTCCCATCTGTCATTTCCCATACCTGCCGAGATGTCAATGCCACTGTGGCATTTGTGGTGACAGAGCACAAAGTGCGTGTGCGCATCCGGCTGGGAGGCCGGCGGGTCGGTGGGTGTACAGGCACACCTAGAGGCATTTTTGGGTCGCGTTGCTGAAACATGCGGCCCTGGGCGGGTTCATGGCGTTGGATTACCCTGGTGCTTTTGGCCTGGGGAACACTCCTCTTCTACATTGGTGGTCACTTGGTGAGGGACAGCGAGCATCCGGAGCGGTCCAGCCGGGAGCTCTCCAAGATCTTGGCCAAGTTGGAGCGACTCAAGCAGCAGAACGAGGACCTGCGGCGCATGGCCGAATCGCTCAGGTAAACTGCATGTTTACTTACTCGCATGCTACAATTAACCGTTAATATTTCTTTTCAGTTTAAGTCCCTTTACTTGCACATGAGTACTGGTTGTGTCTTTCTTGATTGAATTATTATCCACCGTCTTCTTTTTCCTTTTCTGAAGATGTTCTGTAGTATCAAAGCAAAGCTAGGGTAGAGTTTGTCATTTTGATCTGTATTTGTAGGTTTTTTTAAAAGTTTTTTTTGATATGGATCTATTCCCAGAGTTTTGTTACTACTAAATCTAGAGATCAGATGTATTGCATCTCTTGCTTTGCCTCTTACGTAAACTTTTGAGTTGATAAAAGTTCTGTTGTGCAATGCTTCCTTCCTCCTGTCCAGCAATGAGCACACAGTCTAGATTCCTGGTGGCCCAATCAATAGTTTTCCAAATGAATGAATGTGGCAATGAAATGATTGTTTCTTAACAATTTATGGAACTTTAAGCAGCATCTGTCTAAATCGGCATCTTGCGTCTGGCTTAAAGTTAAAATGCTTGAGTTGGGTTTTATCAGCTGATCAGTGTTCAGTTTCAAAGCTCATCACGGGTGTTGCAGATGCTGCCTGTGACAGACAGATGGATGGTCTGTCGCACACCTCAGCAGATTTTGTTGTGTCATTTTGGAAGACAATAGCACATTGTACGAGCCCATTAACCACACAGCGTCTTTCGCACATTCACTCTATGTGTAATAGAGAGACAGATGGTTCTGCTCTTATCGCCGCATGCCGCCGATGTTTCTATGCACACATAAAGTCTACGCCTGTGCATGGGTGCCTGTGACTGCGCATGCATGTGGGCGGGAAGTGGTAGCGCGATCCAGTGTGTGCCATATTAATAGGGAACTTCAGATGTTGCCATTGCTGCTCCTCTGTGATATTCCGATTCACTTTGATGCGGGGCCCTCATCGGTGTACACAAACACACGCGTGCACATTGCTTCAGACAGCTGGTCCCTGATTAAATCCCTTGCTTTTGTAATTATTCAAAATTGGCTTTAAAACAAAGGTGGAATTCATGGCATAAAAAACAAGTGCAGCTTTCAGTCGGCCAGTGTCCAGATGGGTCCCCGGCACACTGCACGCTTGTTGCTTGTTATTGAGTTCGGTTGTTGATCTGGGACTGAGGCCTCCGCAGTTGTTTACTGGGGCACTGCTACAGGGCCTTCACAAGTCCCTCTAAGCTTCTGCTAAGTATCCAGCACAGCAAGCCAAAAGCGGGCAACGGGCTTTCTGAGGTCAAGCTTTATGAGCTATCGACAGTAACAGCGGTTGGTTTGTCTTGTTCACGTCGTTGTCTCTTTGTGCATGTGTGTGCTTGTGTGCGTCTGCGTAATAGTCAGATACAGGTCCAAGAGAGAACTCCAGCACCTCACCCCGCCGTCTCTCTCTTATCCCTATATGAGAGCTCTAATAGACGCAAAAAGGCTGTTAGTGAGCTGTCCGTCATCCCTGCCACAGCCTCTTACTTCTCTGTTCATTGCCTCCTCTTGTTCCTCGTTTCACTCCTCCTTCACCTACAACCCTCCCTCCTCGTCCTCCTTCTCCTCTGCCTCATTCTCCTACCAAACTGCTGACAGGGGTATGGCACGGAGCCAGACTCTATCCCGCAGGTTGTCACAGAATGACTGACTATGTAACAAGTCACTAGCTCACTGATCGACTAGCGGAACGCGTGCCTAACCCAATTCGCAGTTTTACACGTTCTGCAGATTTGGTCCGAGAACATGAATCTCTGAATCTTGTACAAGAACCTGAGCCAATCCTTTTAAAGTACCTAACTATCACATTAGTGCGCTCATTTTTCACGAGTGGCCTCAAACCCATAAAACTGGCGTTATTGCACATTTTGCTGAATAGAAACCCACTGCACTGACACTGATGTATAGTTCAGAGTAGAATTTAACTCGGTTACTGTCATCGCACCGCAGCAGAACTTGATAGATGTGTTATGTATTATCAGGCATTGTGGTGCATTAATTATATACCTGAAGGGATCTTGTTTACATTGTCTCATTCTCTTTGTAATAGAGAGTGAAGCGGCAGCAGTTTGCACGGGATATTGATTTTCTTGATCACAAATTAGGAAAGTCGCTGAGATGACAAAAAATGCTCAGTTCTACAACCTTTTCTCTGCACGCTTTTTACAAAGTTTTGCTGAACTCTTCATTTCTGAAATGGAATTGTCATATAAAATTAATCAATCAGCACTTAGGTTCAGATTAGTATCACCTGGCTGGCCTACCGATCGAGTACAGCAATTCGGTTATTCAGGCCACTCCTGTGCAATTTGAGTGACAGGCAGCGTGCCAGCCTACCAATCGCCCAGTAGCATTAATGAGAGGTGAGCACGAGGTCAAGTTGCTCGGTCTGTCTGGCTCCACCCTCTCTGCAGCTGCTTGTCACCTCAGGCGTGAAGCCAGTGCTCCTGTGGAGACGGTGACACGCGCCAGCCCGATGGTCTGACATCGGAGAGAACGAGGAGCAAGAGTGACAGCTGGGCTGAGCGATGAGGACCTGATCAATTCCCCCAGGCATGCCAGCAGAGGGAGGGAGGGGACAATGCAGAGAAGGAGAAGAGGATGGAAGCATGATGGATGGCGTGAGGACTGCGCTAAGTAAAGAGCAGCAAGGAAGAAATGAAAAATGAGGACAGAGGGGATGAGAAGGGTTGCCGAGACCACAGTCATTGCCTTAATCTGCTTTAAATGTTATTTCAGCCTACCCCAGTGCTAACAGGCTGAGATATACAATCAAATACTAGACGCTAAAACGGGCAGTTCTCTAAATTTATCTTCGATAAACAGTTCAGTGTTTCAGGTGACCCAGTGCATGTAGTGTCCATGATTCAAAGCAGATACAAGAAATTATTTGCATACACAACAACATGTGGCCCTGATCTAGGACAGAAAAGGGCACGATTTAGACAAATTGTCTTTACAGGCTTTGGTAAAATTGTCTTTTAATGGTATAGGCCATTGGCCATTAGACCTCAATTACTTGCCTTCTGCGTGTCCTTGTTTGTTGTTTAGCTTCTGGCTACATTAGGTTGTAAAATCTACACAGTGCTTTTTTGCATACATTTGCCTCATATGTCGCTACCTTTTATGTTAAATAGAAATTTGATCTCTAGAACAGATATCGTTTCTGTGAGGCTACTGTTCTCTCGTGTGAAAAGGGACAGTAAGAAGATCTACCTATGCTGTGATTTAAGAGTTTAAGAGTGCAAGCGCACCGAGCAGACGCTGCTGCCGTTTACAGACCTGAACTCCCATCGACCGGGCCGTCGCTCAGGCCCAGCGAGAGATGGTCTACTACCATAGACACTAGCTCCATTGTTGAAGCTGTCTGGGGTCTGGACATCTCTGTCAAGTAGGACTCAGAGCAGAGCTGGCTCGCCCTGGATATGCTGAGGCGTTGAAGCATGCGAGGCAAAAATGCACCATTCAGAATCAGTTTACTTGGATGAACAGTGACTCAGTGGATGCAGCAAAGGAAGGAGGCAGGAAATGTAACTAATATGCCACGGGGTTGAAATATATTATGCAAAATTGCAAAACATCTACGCATATAACGTCAGCAAATAATACTGTAAATGGTGATGGCATTTATCTGTTTTTAAAAACAAATGTTGAACACTGGTCGCAGTTTTCATGGTAAGAACAGGCTTTTCCACCAATTTGTAGTATGCGCTACACTTGTATTGTTGTCATTTATTAGCTTGACTTATTAGAGTCAAGTGACTTAAGATGTTTGAATTCCCAGGAAAGGCTGGAACATGTCAGTCGAGCCTTAAAAGCTTGTGATAATTGAGATTTATATAAGCATGCAGGTTTTTCATTAATGCAAAGGAAAATCGTGTTCATCTTTACATCCCTAAACCATCGAGATTTCTTCATCTCTCCATCCATATGCATGGCATTTCTTGGTTAGCATATTGGTTGACTTAAAAAGTAAACCTCAGGATTATTTAATCTTACTGCTCTACCCGTGTCTGATAACCCTGTGAACTCCATGGTTACCAAGTGCAGGAGGCGGTGGAGCGATAGCTATGGCAACAGTTCACAGATAAACTGGGTTGGAAGAAAGTGGGTTGAATGTTCAACCTCACCTGCTTTCCAGTTCAGTACTCAGAAATTGCAGGGCAGATCAACCCCTGCTTTCACAGCTTTGTCTTTCATTCCTCTGCTGTTTCCCCCCTACTTCACATACCACCTCCCCAGACTCAGTTTTTTCTCTCCTGCTACTTCTCCTGTATTGTTTGATTAAGATGCTGTTGAATCCAGCTGCTTTGTCTAGTCTCTATTTTAGATCCTCAAGAGATTCTTTTTTTTCCTGCATACAGAATTTTGGTTGGAGATACTTATGTTGAATCCACACTGTAGCACTGTTAAAAATCCACTCATTGAGGCATTTAATATATGGAACATGAATTAAGGTTTTGCAGAATATATGACGTTAATTTGTTCATCAGTTTGGATATGTGACAATTAAATGGTAAATGGCCTGTATTTGTATAGCGCTTTACACATGCAGTCATCCACCCATTCACACACACATTCACACACTGGTGATGGCAAGCTACATTGTAGCCACAGCCACCCTGGGGCGCACTGACAGACGCGAGGCTGCCGGACACTGGCGCCACCGGGCCCTCTGACCACCACCAGTAGGCAATGGGTGAAATGTCTTGCCCAACAACATAACGACCGAGACTGTCCAAGCCGGGGCTCGAACCGGCAACCTTCCAATTACAAGGCGAACTCCCAAATCTTGAGCCATAATCGCCCACGATTATGATAACAATGTGGGATCAAGTGAATAAAACCCGAGTCACATAGGCCTAGAGACCAGGCTGGTTAGGACACAAAAATGAGGATTACCCGAGTTGTTGTGAGTGGTTGCTGGAGAGTGATGGAAGCTTTCTACAGACCAGTTGACCAAGTGGGGCACAGACCGAAAACATGTTTCAAAAGGTGGTAAATTTTCATTAAAGGCAGTTTGTATTGCACTTTTTTTTTTCCAAGTCTTACTACTGCTGGGTTAGCAGTTAGTATGTATATGCAGAAAACATGGTTAAATACAGGCAACAGTGGAAGTGTTCCAGCAAATAAAACGAACACTAGGAGGTTTTTGGTGCAGCACCTTTTTGTAATACATTTTACCCAGTGAGATCCGACAATCTCCAGGAACCACTGCCAACCAGTCAGGAAGTACATTTTCTTCCCTAGCAACTGGTAATGTAGTATGGGGGACAGCTCCAATGTGCACATGATATCATGTGAGAAACCTCAATTCCTTTGGGTCCAAGTGCATCAATTCTGCTTGACCTGTAGAAGTTTATTTGTTTAATGTGATTTGATTAATTTTGTAAGGTTTATAAATTAGTAAACACTTAAATTTCTTCATTAATTTAATTAAGGGGATTGAACTATTCTCAAAACCGAATTGGTGGCAAATGGTGGTCTAATACATTTTACCTTATTTTTTCCCCTTTAATTTGTCACATATAGGTCGACTGTCTTTACTACATGTGTAGGCAGTAAAGACAAAGTCTTCCACTTCAAGCTTAGATCGGTGGTGGGAATTCAAATGCACTTTGAGATTTTTTTTTGGGGGGGGGGGATTTTACATTTTTGATCTCAACAGACGTCTGACTGTTGTTTTTATGTTTTTAATAATGTAAGTTAATAGTTTTTAGTCTAGATTGGCTCAATATTTATCGTAGATTTTGAGCTCTGTGAAAGAGAAATAGCTAAAGATTTGATATGTTGGGAGCATTTTGTTGAATTCTACATAAAGGGCAGCAAAATGAACTTTTGATAATAAATAAGTTGCAAAAGAAATACTTGCATAAAAAGACATCTATATTTGTAGTGGGACATAAAAACCCCACTGACTGCATTACTGCAATGTAACCCTGCCTCTTTTAATCCCCTGCAGATGCCAAAAACCTTTCAGGTTACATAGATCGCCTTGTCTTCTGTTTTTTGTGTCCGTGTGCTTTGTCAAAGAACAAAAAGTCGCACTAGGAAATGATGTCACTTTGTAATTGTCCTACTTCCTGTACAATGGAGTAACTACTGGATTAAGGCCTTTAGGGACAGCTTTTCTGAACAGAGTTAGCTGTGAAAAAAGATACTACAGCTGATATTTGGTTTGAAAATGCACCTGGGTCCTTTTTAAAAAAAGATCTGTGTCAGGAAGCTGTAACGGGACACATCATAGATTTCACGGAGAAAAGAAGCCCTGATTTAAGGAATGCATATAAATATCCGTGGTGCCACAATGTTATGCAGAGGTTTAGCATTCCATGATGCAGTTACGTAATGTAGATGTCAAATAACCTCTCTTTTCTCTTCAGTTTCCATGGCTTTGAAGCACAATGCTCAGTTAGTGCTCAGTGAAGTGGGAGGCCAGGGCTTCTGGGGAATGAGGGGGAAGTTGTGTGGCAAGAAAGGCTACTGCAACTTTAAAAGTCTCATCTTTATGCCTGCCAGCGACTGATGTTCCTTATTTATGGAGCAAATTGAGTTTGCATGCCTTGATGACTCATTAACATGGCCTTTGCAGCACTTCACTAATGCCCCTGTGCATTTGGACATATTCAGTTTTTAATGAGTTTATGTAGAGAAATTGATTTTGTATAATGTCAGTGGCATTTTTTTTTCCTTTGGCTAATTTGAACTTTGTTGTCAGTGTGCTCATTTGTATTTTTATTACATGCATGTAATTCATATTCATATAGAAAGTCAAAGTTTTGTATTATTTGTGTTTGTCAGTTGTATAAATACATGCCAAAGGACTAATGCCTGCCTTTTAAGTAGATCCGACTACTCTGAGTGTCGCCGGGGCGGCATCTTGCCATGACGCCAACGCAGATTTCGAAAACAGTACCAGCATCACAGTCCTGCCTAGTAACAAAAGGGCCGCCATAGTCTCCGGCGCACTAATGTAGCACATGATAGATGCTGTAATCAGAGGGAATTCCCACTGCGTCTGCCGATAAACAGTCAAAGTACAGTAACTAATTGTAAATAATCAATTTAGTGCTCTAGTATAGCTTTTATGTAGCTGTGGTTTTTCTGAAATGGTAATTTAGTGTCATCTTTGTATGCTATGATCCTGCCACTAAATCAAATTTGTATCCATTAAGGAGTTAAAACGTTAGCCTATGGAGGTATTGCATTACAAACTCAATGCATTTGCCATTCTTGTAGTAAAAGGAGAACCGTGTTCTAGCTTAAGAGTTGCTTTTATTTGTTTCTGTCTTCTACATTATTTGATTAAATGTAACACATGGCATTTCACCATCATTTGCCTTTCACTTCAGAGACTGCTCAGTGGATTCTTGGGATATTTTTGTAAAACTGTAGAGTAGGAGACAGGTCGGCCTTAACAAACACGGAGAGTGATTCAGTGCCCTGTGCATAATCTTGAGCTCTGAATAAATAAATCAGGACAGGGCTCTGGAACGCTGCGCCTGTGGTGTTTTTAGTAAATGAAATGGAATTTTCAGTGGCGAACACTGCGAGATGCCAGCTTTCGTGGCTTAGTTTTGAAAGCAGCTTTTAAGTCAGAAGAGATATGGTTCACTAACCAGTGCATGATGGAAGATAAACATTTTCACTGATTCATCAGAATACTCTGCTACATTGTTAGACTGTTAAAAAGTCAGTTTGGTGGTAATCGAGTTTGTGTTCCAGCGACTTTTACATCAAGTTAGCCTTGCACTACATGTGATTTACCTGTTTTCAATAAAGATGCAAAGACATATCTGCAAAAATCTGACATTTTGATAGATTTTTGACTTGGGTGGGGAAAACAACATGACATTGATGTGTGCAAAGGATTTTTATCTGTCGTCAAACGTCAGTTTTGCTCTGGCTAAATGTTCAAGCATTGTGTGACAAAGAGCTCAGAGACTCTCTAATATATCAAAGTATTTCTGTATGTGCATCTGCTTGTCACCACAACACTTTTACGGTTTGCCTCCAACTGATTACTGCTTAAGATATAAATGGGTAAAACACCAAATTAGAGGTTGTTTGGATTAGAGTTTGATTTTGAGGTTCTCCTGCCTGCTGCATATGTCAGTTTTAAAGATGTTGGAGATTTTTTTTTCTTCCTTGTTATGATTTGGAAAATATATTTGCAATTTTAGAATTAGGAAAATGTTCCATTTGTTTCCCTCAAACTAAATTTGTAATAAACATTTTTTTTAAAACCCAACAAAGAATCAAAAGTCAAATATTGGCTGTTAGCCCATTAAAATCACTGTAAATTTCAAACTCATGGCTTTATTTTGTCTATTCTAAATAAGCAATTTAAAGACTTACAAGTGCACAACATATACATCGTGTGACCCTTCATTATTGAGATGAGAAAAATGAATTTATTGCAGTGTCTCCTTTATTTACCTATTTAATTTTACATTTGCAGCACAGCTTATCTGCAGAGATGGATATTTTTGCTCTTTTCTCTTACTAGTGATGTGCATGTTCCCAAATTCATCTGTTATATCTCCTATTGTGTCCGTCAGGATACCAGAGGGTCAAGCCGATGCCGGGTCCTTGGCAGCAGGAAGGCTGCGCTCCCTGGAGGACCAACTAACCAGAGCCAAACAGAAGATCCACAGCTTCCAGAAACTTACTGGAGATGGTAAGCAGAGTAGAGTTACCTAAAAGGTTGCAGGGAAGAATTTGGCACAGAGCTTACAAATATGAGGAAAAAAAATTGATTTTCAAGGTGTGGGCTGTCTATGAGCTTTGAGTCTATGACTCCTATGAGCTTTTTCCTGCAGCGAGAATCTGAGTCTAGTCTGGCGTTAAGCCTGCTCTAGCTCTGGAGCAATAATGGCAAAGCCACATGATGAGATGGACAGGGCTATGTGTGTATTTGCCACCCTAAGCATGGTCAGAGGGGCAGGTAAGCTGTCAGGTGAGCAAAGAAATGTGTGAATGAAATGGAAGCAGTGTGGATGTACCATTGGCAAGAGTGAAAGGTGAGGGGAAAAAAGAGAAAAGGGGGGAAAAAGACATGCGAGCTTGGAGGGCAGAGCAGGGTCAGTCTCTCCATCTTGCCGCAGGGGGAGGAAAAAGCTAAAAATACCCTTCAGCTTTTTTCCACAAGGGAGGCACTAAAGAGAAAAGAGAATATGTGAGAAACAAGGGAAAAAATAAGAGCTTTTCCCTCTTCACCAACTCCTTCCCCTGCTTGAGGCTGTTCTTTCCTTCCCTCGATTTTTTTTCTTCTGTTTTTCTCCACAAAAATGAGAGCAGGCAGCTGTGTTATCCATGTAGGTTACTCCACATTGTTTGGCTCGGGAGGGGTATAGAGATCCTCCCTGTGTTCGAAAAACACAAGAGCGCCATCGCAAGCAGGAGGGAAAAAGTGATCAAGTTGTTAATAATGAGGTCAAAAAAACACCCAGAGACAGAGTATGAAAGAAGAAGACTCTAATGGTTATGTTCCCAGACCTTGCTTTGTGCTTGTAGGTTATTTACGCTCTCATAATATAATGCTCAGATATTCTGAAAGTCCTCCTGGCACCTTGTTTCTTCTAGCTGAGTAACTCAATAGTTCTACGCCTGTGCCTAAAATGTCACAGAAGCTGAGTGTCTTTGTTGGTCCTTGTAGGTCCCGGGCCCACTCAGGAGGAGCTGCGGCGGAGGGTGGAGAATGGGGTTAAGGAGTTCTGGTACTTTGTCCGCAGCGAGGTGAAGAAACTGGCCAATGTTGAGCCCAGCGAGAGGCAGAAGTACGCTGACACACTCCTGCAGGACCTGGGACACCAGGAGAGGTGGGCTGCTTGGAAAAAATGGGAAACACTCGCAGTGAAACCAGTGATAAATTTACAAAAAAAAAAAATCATGTTTTGTTTTTATGTCTTTGATTTAGTGTCGCCATCTTAATAAGGTGCAGGCCTGGCTAATGGCTCCTTTCTGTGTGGAAGGCTTTATGAAGTCTGCAAAGATTTCATCTTGTGTTAAAATCTGGGTGATTGTGGTTGCTTATGTGGTTTGGAAATATTAATATATGCACATAAATGTTATCTGTTGGTTTGCTTTCTCTGTTTTTCGGAGCAAAATTGCAGCAGGTTCGGTCGAGGAAAAGCATTCTACATCCTGAAAATAATATACTTTGTTTTGTAGGGTCTAAAAGCATTTAAAAATCCCTCACCTATCAAACTATTAGCTACTCAGACTTTTTAGTCATGTAAGAGGCCCCAACACTGGACAGTCCACAGAACTACAGCACAAGCCTGGTAATTTTCCATTTAAAACGCCTTTCAAATCAGGAAACAAAAATACATAAACCACCTGTAAATGTTCAACATTTGCAGTTAACATACAGGAGTTGGCGCAGTATCCCACTCGAAGAAAAAAAAGTCCCTGCGAAAGCGCATGTAATTCCACCCTTACACCGCCCCCGGGATAAAAGCATATAAATGTGCTGACAATTATATGTATTTTTGCAGCAGAAGGGTCAATAATGCTGCCGTTTGGGACGTTAATGACAATCTGCGGGGGAATTAGTTTCATGGTCCCTGTGGTTAGTGCTCCAGGCCAGTAAGGACAAGTGATGAAATCTATAAGTTCATTATGCCACAGAGAATGGAGCTGTTAAAAATCCCAACTCGACATCCAATGCTTGGTTAAATAAGTTTATCTGTTTGTTGCTAAATTAATCAAAAGTGTTTCATATTTCACGAAGTAGTTTATAAGTTTAAAAACTAGGGTATCGCATCGAAAGCAGTATTGAAAAATTAAAAACGGCTCTGAGCCCTATTAATATGTAAGGTGTTTTTCAGAGCCTCTCCGTTCTTTTGGTTAGGATTTTAAAGTAACAGTAAGTAACACACACGCACAGCTTATCATACGTGTGTCCAAGTGTAAAGAAAAGGGCTTGCACAACTGTCAGTCATGGCTACTTTTGATCAATTCTAACTTTTTTGTCACCTTTAGGACTAAATAATTATTAAGGTACCAGTTAGTTATTTAGGCAAACAGGTTTTTAAAGAGATACTGTAGGAACTTGGATTATAGATGTGACTAGTGCTAATGCCATCTGTAATAAATGGGATAAAATCCTGATAGTCTTGAAAGCAGTGCTACGATAGCTGCTGAGTAATAAAGGGCAAAGGTCATGGACACACTTTCTGTCATTTGGATTGCAGCTTTGCAGAGAAAAGCCGGGTGTCACTTTGCCAAGTGGCTCCATTGTAATCCCAATGAAGTGGCTTATAAAACCCATTGTCTTAGTCATTGCTGCCTAAGAAGCTTTCCACAGACTGATTCCACCGCCTAATACACAGGCAGACATGAGCACACGGTCACAGACTTTCACACGCATTCGCTTTCTATCTAACGTCCCTCCCTCCTCCCCTTCTCGCTGCAAAGATGGAGCAGAGGTGGAAAGAGCAGGGAAATGTTTGACTTAAATAAATCCTTGTTTAAATTCTGCTCAGCAAGGTTGAAAGGTCATTGCCTTAAAAATTTCCAAGGCAAAAAATGCAGCACGCTTAAAAAAAGCACTGAAAGTGCTGAAAATGATCACTGCATTATAGAGGGCTTTTAATTTGACTAAGTTTTACAGGTAGCTCATAAAGAACTGTCATAAAACAACAGGTCAAAGTTTGAATGTCTGCAGCAGGAAATTAAGCAATCAAAAATGTGTCACAGTACTGTGTGTGTGTGTGTGTGTGTGTGTGTGTGTGTGTGTGTGTGTGTGTGTGTGTGTGTGTGTGTGTGTTATGGTTTCTCGGTAATATGCTATAATAGCACTGTAAGCTCAGTGTAAACTTAACCTTAAGCCTAAAATAATCTAGCTGAGATAACGGTTTAAAATCACAGTTAAAAAGCACGCCATGTTAACCTCCTAAGACCCAAACTCTTCCACGGCATGCATTTTTAATTTCTCTTTGACATCTGGGCATATTGGGACCTGATGAATGTAAAAACAAAGAATTACCAAATTTTATTTTATTTTATTTTTTGTTACCTGATTTTTGTTTCTAAGAAAAATGAGAGTCACATATGAGGATATTCATTTAAAATTTCAATAGACTCTATTTTTCTAACACCAATAATCTAGTTGATCAGACTGATTTGCATACTGTAGAAAGCACCCAGAGAAGGAAATGTGTAATTTGGGCTACAGAACATCTGGCAATTTTTATGACTTCTGTTGAGATAATTACTACATGTCTGAAAGATGGAGGGTTTTGTAAGTTATATTCAACAGTGCTACAAACATATCCGCTGGGTAGCCTAAACTCATATAACTGCGCTTCTAGAGAATGAAAGCCTCACTGAAAGCCTGTAACTGAAACCAGAATAAATTCACAGAGTAGAGCACAGCAATTAAAAAAATATTTAGATGATAAAAAAGAACCTCTTGTCTTTCCTCCCTTTTGCACATAATCTGCCTCAACTGACTCGGTGATATTTATGCTTTAATCTGAAACCTGTAATTGCTCTGCAGTCAGTGCTGAGAAAAGTTGTGCAGCTGCAGCCTTTGGCGCTTCACTTTCGGCCAATCAAAGGCTGTGGCAAAGCTCACGAGCTTCAGATATCCATAAGACCCCACACGCTTAGCCGCACACAATGCAATGCATATGCTAGGTTTCACATCAGCGCGGTGTTCTCCTGCCTTGCTGCCAAATCCCTCAGGGCTTGTCTCTGGATTCCTTCTTGTTAGGTTTTTGCAACGGGCCAGTTTGCGTTTCCTTTGCACAGAGGGTTGGTTATGGCTCCCCTGTGCACTACAGGAGGAGACATCCATTTACACGCTGTGGTTCCAGCTTCAAAATGGGACAGTGACTAATGATGCTGTCTTCGTTAGCTTTAACAAGTAAGACGCCATTCGCTGTGCCGCACTGTTAAAAAGGGGCCATGGTACGGTTTTGTGTCGCACACATTTAGAATACATTTTCAGACATATATGTTGTGGAAAGGAGACACGTAAGCTTTCTCAGATTAATTATGAAATAATACTTTTCAGGTTTCTCCTCTGCAGGGTTTTGGATTGTCAAGTAGACGTATTATTAACTTTTCAGCATATTCAGCTGCCTCTCTAGTCAGTTTCTCGTCCTTTGGCTTAACACCAACTCAACTTCCTTAGCTGCATGTGAACCTCTTTTCTGCAGCAGAATTCTTAAAGAGGCGCTCCTGCTCTCAACAGACCCCCAAAACAGAAGAAGTGCTACTGTCGCAAGGCCCATGTCTATACAGTGGATGTGGCACACACCCAGTGGCAGGATGAAATTCTGCATGCTGATTCACTGTTGCAGCTCATTTGGGTCTCTTAACGGAACTGATCTGTTGATAATTTGACATGTACGTCCCCTGCTGTAACACTTTAAAAAGTTTCCTGGAAAAAAAAACTCTATAACAACCTGGACAGGAAGCCACCCAATAGGAAAAATACAAGATGGGAACGGGTGGGGTAAACTGGAGTGAGCAGATTATTTACTAGTAAATCGAGATGCTTTTGTTTAAAAAAGAAAAGGAAAAAAGATAAGAAAATGGTGAGTTAAAATACCTGGGTGGTCTACCTACACCTAACTGAAGTTTATGTTGAAGAAACACTGCGTTACTTTCATCTTCCCTGCGTGTCCTTGTATGCACTGCTGATTATACGTTAAAGAACTCTCAGTCACACAGGATGTGACTGATTTGGGTCAAACAAATGACTAATAAATTATGTGTGTCTGCGCGTGTGCGTTTGTGTGTTTGTGTGTGTGAGAGAGATGCTTTTGCATTTGCCCTTAGCTGCATATATCTCAGTTCTCGTGTAACTTTGGAAGTGGATGGTCACGATATTAAGCGGCATGTGACACATACACAAATTTGCTGCCAGCAGCATGCAGATGGCCAGCTTAATGCAAAAAGCAGCTAAACAACCAGAAAGACACTGTTGTCAGTCAGCATTAAAATTTATTTCCTGTTAATATAAAAGACTATTCAGACTTTGTAATGCTTTACTCGCACAATATACTCTTGTCTGGTTGATTTTCTTATCCAAGTGTTTCACAGGTAAGGTGTATACCATTATAACATTGGGGAAACTGATATGCTACAGGGAGAGGAAACATTTCCTTTTATTGAGGACAGTTTATGTCCAGGAAAGCGCAGATAGAGATTAGAATAAAAATTGATTACATATTATGTAAGAACTCCTTTCGAATCATTTCATCATGTAGATGAAAGATAAAAGGAGCCGGCCGAGGTGGTTCGAGGATCTGATGGGGATACCTTCTAGGCGCCTCCTGGGCATGGTGTTGCTGGGATGTCCTACTAAGAGGAGACCCTGGGGCAGACTCAGGACATGCTGGAGAGTTTATATCTCTCAGCTGGCCTCGGCGTTCCCTTGGATGAGCTGGAGGAGGTGGCTGGGGTGAGGGAGGTCTGAGCTTGTCTGTTTACACTGCTACCCCCACAGCCCTTCTCCATATGAGTGCAGATGGATGTTGCACATTTAATACTGCCCACATATCAAAAATAGAAGTGGGCAATATGGTTATGGACTAAATATGTAATTTTATTTTTTGATATTTTTATATCTTGATATCAGTGGCAATAAATTCTATTAATTTGTGAATTGCAGCCAACCAGCAGTAACAAAGCCTATAGCTTTGTTTCTGTATTTCACACAGAACTATAACCTGTGAATCCTGATTGATCGTGGGCCAGATGAGTCACTAGTCATTAAAGTTCTAATTATTTTACATTGTAATCTCTATTTCCAGTACAATTCATATTAAGCAATGTTCATATTACCAACAAATTGACTTTTTATGTCCTTAATTAATATTAGCCTGTGACTGGATACTTTTCACACACCCTGAAAGGCTCATGCTTTGCACAGCGAAAGATGATTAACTTGTTGACCTGTTAAGGACATAAGGTTGTGTGTTTTATTATCTTTGAGAATGTACACATATTACCAAGGAGTACCTAATATAAGTGCGCTAATTGCATTTAAAAGCTCTGTGCCAGATGTTGACACTGTTAATGAGAGCAAAAGAGTGTCTGTTCTAAATACGGGGGGGGGGTTCAACTGCAGTCAGATTATTAAGTACAAGCCTCTCAGAGATGTACTTTTGCTTTTTGGGTAGGAACTGTGGGCGTTTGGCACTAAAAGCAATGCTCATAGATGTGAAGTGCAGTGATTTGCAGATGCACTGCTTTTAATCTGATGTTACTGGCAATGCTCGCATCTAGAAAAGGTGTTTTTTTTTTTTCTGGGGGGGGTGTGTACAGACCTAACAAATTACATGTGCCTGGCAGACTTCTCGAGCGATAAAGTTTTGAAATTTGTGTGTCTGCAGGTCCATCATGACAGACTTGTACTACCTCAGCCAGGCAGATGGAATTGGTGAATGGAGAATGAAGGAGGCTAAAGACCTGTCGGATCTAGTCCAAAACAGAATCACCTATCTACAGGTATCCACAGACACACCAGCTGCTGAGCCAACTGGACTGTACCATTTCACACACAAACATACACAAAGGTGTCGGAGACATAACTATGCTGTGAGCATCGATGCAAATATTTTCTTCACACAAATAAATGCACATATGCATACACCAGAAATATCTTTCGCACTTGCTCGTCTGATTTGCACCGTCCATATCTGTCAACATCAGTTTGCACAACTAGCAGGTGAGTGGTACCATAGCAGACGGTTTCAGCAGTTACATTTGACAAGCTTGTTGTTTGTCAGCAGTTTAGTGTCACCTACGCACATGCGGCAAAGCACAGAAACGCAAAGTGACAGATCAGCACATGTGATATGTGAAAATGTAAAGAAATCTCAATGCACTACAGTAACAGACACAAATGCACACACTCACCAAGAGTCACAGAGATGCACATACACTTACAGGCCAATGCATGCACAACTCAAGACCCGGGACGCATTCACTCGCTTCAGCTGCCCTGCTCCTCTTCTCCAGCTCTGGTGCTGCAGGGTTCCCGGGCAGGGCGTTGTGGTGCGGCACCATGCCCTGCAGCATTAATGAGCCGGTGTGTTTGACGAAGAGGACCCAGTCAGTCTGGCTGGGTGGAGACAGCACCACTAACAGCTGCTGTCACCACCGCTGAGGGATCACACCGCTCTACCAGCTGCCATCACTAATTCATCACACACGCATACACACATTCGTGTACAGATGGATTCATCCGCACCTATGCGGGCAACTGGCGCACATTCACACAACCGCAGCTTTACATATGCACACGCTCATACCCGAAGAGTGTGTGCACGTGAGTTTGTGCGTGTGTCTCTTTCAACATCCCTTACGCATACTCACACATATATACATACTCACACAGACGGACTCCTCCCTCCTGTCCTCCTGTCTCTGCCACTCGCACCAGCCTCTCCTTTCATTCCCGGTTTAACTAACTCCATTTCTCCGTCTGCTCCATCTGTCCACTCGCAACATCGAGGCTCACTTCTTCAGATGGCGCTCTGTTGGACAAGCCTTTCATCTATTTTTGCACTATGAGCCTTTGCGTAGTGGTGTTAAAAGCTAATGAACAAAATCATGTTTTTGATCTTTGGTGCTTTTGCACACCATTTCCCAGAGACCACTTATCACTATAAATCTGTCCAGTGCTTGGCATGGCGTGCTTGTGTGCTTATAATCACAATCACCCTAGCCAGCTCTACAAAGCTTTATTGCATCTTTCAGCTGATTTGTTTTGCTTTTATTTGTGCAATTTTGGCCCCAGCAGGCAGCTGTTTTGTTTCAAAGAGCTACTGTACAAGCTGAGTAAAAACTGGAGCTTTGGCAGCTCTGTGGTTGTGTTCACCTGTTACAGCTTTAAGATAGTTGTCCAGATAGATTTGATCACCTATGCCCCTCAGTGCCAGAGATCCAATCAGAGTAATGTTTACTAATCACTTGGAGTAAGGCATAAATCAAGTGCTCATGTCAATGCCAAAGAAGGAAAGCAGATCGTGTACCTGTTAGTAACACATCTAGAGACATGAAGAGTGCGAGCATTCATCCCATCACACTGTTAACGCTGAAGAATCAAAAGACAGTCTTGATCTATGATTGAATGTTGTTTTCTATGGTGTTAGCTTTTGTCTGTTGTGCTTACATGTACCCTTGTGCGTAGGTATAGAGTTTAAATCCCATTAACAAAAAGGAGACTTCTCGTGTAACTGGAAAAACAATTCAATAGAAAACCAATTGCAGAATGCAAAACGTTTTGCCGTTGCTTCCAACAAAGAAACTCTTATCAGGAAAAACAAAATGTGAAATAATTTCATAAAATGATCCATGAATGAATAAAGGAAACGACACATGCTAAAACCTTTTAAAAAGTTCTTCCTGCATCGGATTTTCTAATGATGATATTAGATTTAGTTTTTTTCTGAAGGTGAAGCTCGTGCAGCCATTGTAGATGTTCATGCTAATTAACCAGTCCCTCTAAATGACACGCGATTGCACCTTCATGTGTAAAATATGTCACAGCCTGTCAGCAAGAGGTGTTTTTCCTAAAAAGGCATCCGTGAGGAAAATGCAGAAGCTTTAATGAGCTGAATATATTATGCAGTTTATTGCTGAAACATCAACATATTATTGTAAGTCTCCTGCCAGCAAAGCGCAGCAACACCGATTTTACTTCAAACGTGCTGGAGTCTTACTTTAGAGGGGGTCTATTATGCTCATTTACAGCGTCGTATATTCTACTTTTGGACTATACTACAGTAACTTCACACGATTCACAGTTCAAACTAATACTGATATATAACTGCTCATCTTACAGTGCTCTGTTTGAAATGAGCTGTTTTCACTCTTTTGTCTTTCCCTTTAAGTTCTGGGCCTTACTCTACGATGCTTGTTCAAGGATATCTTTCCATTATCTGCATTCGTTTACTCTAACATTGTCGATCTGTTTAAATGATCACACAAAGGTTGTTATCTACTAAGTTAACCTGCATTCACACAAAAGGGCTGGTGTTGGCAGCATCTGACGAATCCTAAAGTGGCGTTTCACAGATCACATGACTCTTCTTCCAAGAAAATGATCACTATGAGCCCCTACAACAGAAACATTATCAAATGTATAGAGAACTTAGGAAATGCGACTTTAAAACGAAACACTGTTGAAAAAAGGACACATATTGATCGTTAATCATTCATTTTAGCGCATTAAACAGGTAAAATAAACATTTTAATTCCAGTTGATTGTTTTATCACAGATTGTGTTCTAAGTGCTGCTATTTATTTTCTAAGGTGACAGCTGCACCTTAAAACTCTGAAACTTTAAACAGGATCCATTTAAACATTAAAGTTTACTAACTAATAAACAAGAAGTTGAAATCGCTTCAATTTGATTCGGATCCAAGAGAAATTAATTTTGTCCCAGCCGGTGTGAAACTGAAACTCAGAACATAACCTGCTCCTACTGTTCAGGCACAGACGTCTGAGGGATCTTCCAGGAGTTGTGACGCTATTTTCTGGAGAACTGATTTATCAGTAGGTAGTGATTTTATACCTGTTGATCTCTAAACTGGATCTTAACCTGCTCCAGCACAGGTTAGGTTCACAGCATAAGTCACCATGGTGATTTAGAGATGTTGCCTGGATAAGACAAAATCCTGCTTTGTAGTGTAGGCCTCTCATTGGTTGCCTGTTGTAAACAGAACATTCACAGCCAGAGCCTGAGATGACAGTATTAAGCATGCCCCCTCTCTATGACATCACTCAGATCCAAGAGGAGAAAAATTGCTTGAAATCAAACATTTAGAACAGTCTTAAGTCTTGGTTTTTATTCATACGTGCCCTGATCTCATGGTTTTTTGTTTTTTTTTTTACATCTAATATAATCATCCAGTGTGGTAAGATAAATGCGTATGACAAAAATAGGAAAACACAAAAGGAGCCCTTTGAACAACTTGTCACGATTGAATTTCAGCATCACAGTGGATAATTACCTAAGCTCGGCATACTTCTGTCTCAAATTCAGTGGTCCTCAGCCATAGTCCCTAAATAAACAATATCTCCGTGGTCTCTCTAGTGCAAATCGCTCTGCAGCTGATGCTGTGTTTCACACTCAAAAAAAGAACAATTTAAACAGCCACTTAACCTACAGTACAAAGCGCTACTCGAAGGCTGCCTTTGTGCATGCATCGGCCGTCATTATCCTTGAACCACGTCTCTTAAGCGCTGCAGTCATTCCTGCTACACCATTACCGCCCTGGCATCCAACGGTGGCCTCCACGCCGCGAGATTCATTCTACAGAATGATCTCATGCACGTACTGTGACTCGGGGGCCAGGTTTGACACTGAAAACAAGCTCAGGATGCCACTGTAGATTATTAGTTCAGTAAGTTAGCCTACACCTATGGGGGTAGTAGCGGCAGCCTGTAACTCGAAGGGAAATACCTGTGTGGCTTGTTCTGTCACCTCTATGGCTGCTGTAGCCTGTTCATGTTATTGAGCAGCAGCGGTGGTAATCAGTTTTCTTCACATAAAGGATCCTCTCTTCTTTCCTTTTTTTCCTTTTCCTTTTTTTATTGCCTCTTGTCCTCTTTTTACATTCATCACCACATTTTTTTTTTTTTTAATGCTTTCATCCCTTTTCCTCGCCGCTTCCCTCTCCTTCCCTCCTCCTCCACCCTCTCTTCCTTTTCCTCTCCTGCTAGTGTATGATAGGCAGCGTTAGCCGGTGGGTGCCGGGCGGCCTGATTACTGTGAACCATCCACAGCTGCAGCAGCCTAATGAGGAAAACACTCCCATCAGCCGGTAATTGCTGTTTAGGAAGCTGGTTGGCATGAGCGTTGTGGAGTCGCTCAGACCGGCTGCTGAGCGAATCGCTACCCGCCCGGCAACTCATCGACAGCACAGCATGTGTCACTCTCTTCTGGTTTCCAATTTTTTTTTTTTTTTTTTTTTTTTTAATGTTAAAAAAAAGAGAGAAATCCTTGTTTCTTTCCCCAGCGCCTCTCATTTGGTATTCTCCCCCTCAGACTTTGTATGATATTGAAGCTAATGTTCAAGAAGAGGAATGAGACTGAAGTAGTGGGGAAGATGGGGGATTAGAGGGAGTGGAAAGGGGAACAAGCAGGAGGGAAGTTGCAAGAAATAAAGCGCTATAGAGTGGTAAAAGGAGTGATTGTAAAGGTGAAACATTGAGAATGCAGCAAAAGAAAGGGGCTGTGAACCGTGAAGGCATGAGCGAAAGTAAATGATGAGGCTTTCAACAGTCTACATTTTTACTTACTGTCAACAAATCACAGGAATAGAGCTCATCTGACAGATTGTCATCTTTATAGGCTCAATAATTTCTTGAAACAGGTGGTAAACTGCAGTTTAATTGTCAACAAGTGTTATATATTTATACATGGTATATAATACTGGGAGCTATACTTTGCTTAATGTTGATATGCACTAGTAAATATGTATGAAACTGAAAATGTTCTACAGTCTCTATTTTTACAATAATGAAGACAACAGTTTCACACATTTTTAGGGCCATAATTTGTTGGATTAAGGTTTTGGTAGTAATCAATATGTGATTGAAGTAGATATACTTAAAGAGATTTAACGAAAAGGATTTGGATGGATTTTGGGGGGAATTATAGCCATTTTTGTGCACAGTCCTCTATTGTCAGATGCTCAAAATTAGTTGAACAGACTATTATCATCTAAAATATAAGGATTGTTTTTAATTACTAAGATGAAAGTCTTCCCCATCAGTGGCTGCTTGTAGTCTAGAATTCATAGACATCTTCAAATGCTCTTTTTTTTTTCTCCCTTGAAATGCTCTTCCGGGCCTTTATCAAAGCCACCTTTAGTTGCTATTTCTGTAGGCCTCTCTACATTCGTTTTTGTAACTAATGACTGAAAGGATGCTATGCTGGGTTGAGATCATGCAACTGACTTGGCCATTAAAGAATATTTAAATTTTAGTTAAAACTGAGCAGAGAGTATAGATCTGTACATTTCACAATTCATCCCAGTGTTTCTACCAGCATTCATATCATAAATAAAACAGCAGTGACCCAGATCCACTGCCAACCACACATGCCTATTCCATAACACTGCCTCCCTCATGTCTGACAGTACAGTAGTAAAGAGGGAGGCCTCACCTGGCCATGAAACTGTTCTTCGGGAAATAATCCTATTAATTTAATAATAATAATAATGAATTGCATTTATATAGCGCTTTTCGGGACCCTCAAAGTGCTTTACAATTCCATTATTCATTCACTCTCACATTCATACACTGGTGAAGGCAAGCTACAGTTGTAGCCACAGCTGCCCTGGGGCAGACTGACAGAGGCGAGGCTGCCATATCGCGCCATCGGCCCCTCTGGCCATCACCAGTAGGCGGTAGGTGAAGTGTCTTGCCCAAGGACACAATGACCGAGGCTGTCCGAACCGGCAACCTTCTGATTACAAGACGAACACAAACAGTTGTCTAAGCATTTCACTGCATGTCGTACTGTGTATGTGACAAATAAAATTTGAATTTAAATTTGAAAAATCACTATAATTCTTAAGCACTGTAACACTGTAGAAGTATAGAATGTATATCCTTTAACAATAGAAGGTATGAGACTAAAAAGGAGAGGGGGAGGAGGCAAAATTAATTTAAAGAGTAGAGAAAAATAGCATGTACAGCAGGAAAGGCAACCTGGGAGTAAGCAGGCATCGTGAAATTAGAGTGGTGTATTAGATAAGAAAAGGACACAAAACAATATCAGCTATTTGATATTAAAAGTCACAGAGTAGGTCTTTGAGAGATACAAGGTGGAGGTCAAGCAATAAAAAATGTTGAACCACTCTTTCCTTCTCCCAGAACCCCCCAGACTGCAGTAAGGCGAGAAAGCTGGTGTGTAACATCAATAAGGGCTGTGGTTACGGATGCCAGCTCCACCATGTCGTCTACTGCTTCATGATCGCTTATGGCACCCAGCGCACGCTCATTCTGGAGTCTCACAACTGGCGCTATGCTCCCGGCGGCTGGGAAACAGTCTTTCTGCCCGTCAGTAACACCTGCACTGACCGCTCTGGGGCCACCACTGGACACTGGTCAGGTGAGTACACACAAAATTAACAGCACAACAATGAATTACAGACAGTGAAAGCCTCAGAGATGCCAGTTGTGACTAGTTGCGCGCTGATTTCTGGACGATCCCACCTAAAACAGGCTTTGCCAGACCTTTTCTTTCATGCTGTTACAGCGAAAGCAAAGTGTGAATTCCCTGGCTAAGCATTACTATGCAATTCTTGTTAAAACGTTTTGGCAGCCAGTGTAGCAGCACGTTAATGTTCATAGATTTTATAGCCAAAAAGGAAAAAATCATTTTCTGTATGCACCTCACTCCTCTGACCTACAGTAATTTTATATGTGCAAAAGTCTCTGATAGAGCCTAGAGGCTGATATTGAAGGGAAAATTCTGATTCACAATTTCCTGCACATCCTGTAGGTTTCATCACAGACCGAGCATAAATAAACTGCATCAATTAGAGCTAATTTATGGAATCCTAGGTTAAGAGGACTGTTGTCATTTCTCTGTTGTAGCCCCAGGCTGTGGCAGAGACTGACTGAAGGGTCTTATATTCCCATACAGCTTCACTATTGCATCATTTTCCTGTCAAAAATCTATTTTGACACCAAGTTAATTTTCAGCTGAATGTAAAAATGCTTTTTTACACGTATGTTAGTGAAAATAAACAGGATCTCTTTCATTTATAAACAGTCCATGGACCATTTTTCATCAAAGTAGGATTGTTATTCCATCTGCGGTACTTTACATTTAGCACCATTGCTCTGTTCTGGTACACCCTGCCCTTCAGTGCACAAACATGGAAAGACAATGACATGATTAATGATTAAGTTAGAAACAGCGTGAAATGGAGGAACAAGGGTAGAGGTCAATTGCAAAGCATCTTCCAGATACATCAACCTAGAAACTGGCGACCTCCGGTCACACAAGAAAAATGCGTATTCCTTGTTTGGCTTGCAGGTGGTTGCTGGAAGTTAATCAGTCAATGACTCACCCATAACCACAAGTTGCTATGGAAAAAACTGTATTATCCAGCTGACTGGCAAGTGGGTGCAGATGGCTGATAGTCAGTAAGGGGTGCTGCACAAAAATCCCCTTTGTGATTATTTTTGCAAAAATAATTAGTTGACCGTAGTTTGCATGGAAGATGCAAATTGACTTGTCTGCAAACCCTTGCCGCCTGTTTTTGTTTTTGTTTTTTTTATTAATAGTAAAGCTGAAATGTGCAAACAAACCAGAAAATTGTCGAAAATTAGCAGTAGCTATAAACCTGTGTGCGGTACATCAGTTTCATGTCTTGCACTTGAACTATGTTAAACTGCACTGTCCCTTTTAAATAAATAAATAAATAAATTCAAAAGAAAATTTGCTTTCACATTAATCCTTAGCAGCCATTTCCAGAGAAGTTGGCATCTTCCATGCAAACAACAAGAAACCATGACAATATGCTAAGCAACCAAAGCGGTCTCAAGAGGGTTTTTGGTGCAGCACCCTCTTCAACCTCCAGAAACCACTTACCGACCAGTTAGGAAATATATATATTCCCTTAGCGACCAGTGGCGGATATGTGCTGACTGGTGCTAGGGCTGTGTGCCTGGGGGACCTGAAATAGCACATATTCCAGGTGAGCTCTGTCCATAGTACATGTGGAAGGATATTGGCTGACTGCCATAGTTGGCTCATCTTGAACTAATTCTATGCTTGATTTTTTTTTATATTTTGAAGACATTTTACGTATATGCCAGGGGACACTTAAAGGGAATATAAATATTCATGCAGGTTTGGGGCATAGCTTTAAACCCGAGTCTCTTATTTCATATTTCACATTTGTATTTTTCGCAACAGTAGAAATGCCCATACCAGCACAGCTTTAGGCATTTGCCAAAGGAATAGTCTGGCAGCAAAACCAGTGTCGTACTCATCACCTTCAGATTTACATACAGACAATGCTAGTATGGCTGTTGATTCATGGTGTTGTTATTTTTGCGTGACATTAGAATTCTGCACACTTCCAGTTCATTGTGAACACAGTTGAAGCAAAAGTTAGTTCGTATGTACAGCTGATACCAGAATACCTTAGGCCAAAGATTGATGGGGCTGTTGGGAGGAAAAAGATCTCCCTACTAATGCACAGGCAGCAGAATCATTTATAAATGAATTCAACCGTTTTATAAAGTGCAATTTTAATATGACTGAGTCCCACAGTATATGTTTGTTTTTCCACTTCTAAGCTGACATTACCGGAGCATATGTAAAAGGAGCTCAGTTATGACTTAGAAGTGTTACTATGAGACTGTACCTGCCTCCCTCTTTATCACGTTATCTTCCACTGCCTCCTCGTTCTCGTCGCCATGTCCTTTCAGCTCTTCATTTTTCTCCTATCGCATTATTTTACTTGTGCTCTCCTGGGCTCTCCCTTCTTATCTCCTGCTCTCCCTCTGCCTTCCCTCTCTTATTCTGCTGCCTTTCATGTGTCCTTTTCCACTTTTTAATGTATTTCGTAGGAGTTTGTCTTGCAAACAGTCTCCTATAGATCCATATATGCCATCTGGCAGCGCACATCAGCAGGCAGCTCCCTCCAAATGTCACTACCCTCCTTAGGCCTTTTAGCATTCTGAATTGTTGTCCTTATAAAAGCCTGCAATTTGCAGAGGCAGTAGTTTCTGATAATCAAGCCAGCTAACTAGCTGGGCATAGCTAATGTAATCCTGTTGGGTACTTGGCTACGCCTGTGGTCATGCCTGTTTTGTTAACAGTGCAAGCAAGTACTTTCCTTGGGGCACTAGACCACAAAGGGATGCTAAAGCCTTGGATTAATAAGTAGATATACATTGAATATCTCGCTAATTAAGTGGAGTGTTTGCCCATGCCAGTGCAATTACAGTGTTTAATGTAGTGAATACTGATCTCTTCAGAACTTGTAGTAGTGCCAATACAAGCTGAATTCCCAGATGGTAGTGAGCGCTCCCTTTTGAGGACACTTTATTTCCAACTTTTGTTTCTCTCAAATTCTCCTCTTCAAAATGTTCTTTATCATTTGGTTGTGAATGTCACCACTTGTTTGTGTTTACATTCATGTAGAAACATGCTTTGGGTTGTCCTGTACTGAGTTATGCCTTTGTATTGTTTCTGTTTATGTGGTAAAATTGACTTTTCTGGTATATTGTGTAGCAGCCCTTCACGATTCCAATTTCCTTATATATCTATACATGGTTCTCCCACTTTCTGTTAAGTGTTTTCCCCCAGGACGTGAGACATTTATAGACCTAGAGAGGATCTATGGTTTATGCGTATGTGACAGGGTGTTTCTATCAGGAAAACATAATGCTTGCGGGAAACATCAAAGATAGCAACGAAGTCATTATGGGACCCGCTGATTTTCTTTCCGCAAATGGGAAACAAAAAACAAAACATTACAAGACGATCCACCCTGAAATAATCAGGACATACAGGGTTGCCTTCTATGGTTTGTTCTACAGCTGAAAAAAAAGGATAGGCTCTTTTTTTGCTTCTCATCCGTAAACACTCTGCATACTCTTTCACGTGATTCAGTTTATTTTGAAAGGTCTCAACAGGATCTTGAGGTTTATTCTGAAAGGTTTATGTAGAAATTAAACAAGCGGACACGCAATGGTTTTACCGTCGTTGTTGCTAAACCCATTCAGTGAAGCTTCTGGCACACAGTTGTTGTGCTGATGTTAATGCCAGAGGAGGTTTGGAAAACACTGCGCTTTTTGAGTCAACAGAGTGTTAACAACTATGATACACCAGGCAACCACCGCTCTGTAGCTTTACGTGGTCTGCTACTTTGTGACTGAGTTGCTGCCGTTCTTAAACACTTAAACTTTGCAAGAAATGCCAAAAAAGAATGCATTTCCATATCTACCCCTGCTGACTGTTTATTCCACTCGTTCGTGTTGCTCTTCTGCCACAACTTTTGTTTTCAGTGGACAGCTGGAGAGCTTAACACCGTCACTCATCTGGTATAACAGACTAAAGTCTCGACGCATAGAGAGGAAACCAGGCTTCTTTTGGAACAATGCTTCGTTGATCAAAGAGCTAATTTGCCAAAGAGAGAATATTCCTTTGAGGTTCTTTGTAGAGATATCACTGCCTTATGTGCAAGTCTGAGAGCAGCAGGAGAAACATAATGTTCCCTGCCATGGATAGACTGGAACAAGAGATCTCCAAGTTCATAAACTAAGTCTCAAATGTATTATGAATGGAGAGGCTCCATATTTTGAGTCTGGATGGTGTCACTCACAGCTCAACAGTTTCTTAGCCATGTTAATCTCATAAAATATTCATTAGGCTCGGTATACATCAGCGACTTAAGTTTAGGAATTCTGTGTCAGTGCAGACCCATGTGCTCTAAGTGATGATGCATACAGGAAATGAATGTAGGGGTTTTGGAGTTGAGATACAATTTAGAGTAGCTTTGTGATCTAATTAAGTAGCTGTGGGAGGAAGACATACTGCATATCTGTACATTTGTGCCAAGAAGTGAAGGCCTCGAAATATGCCCATTCCCCCTTATGTGAATCGTGCCAATTCTGTTATATAAGCAAAGACAGACTTGGGAATATTTTTTCTTTTCAATATTTAATGCTTGCAACCAATTTATATTCAGTTCATGCTCCTGCATGCGCGCACACACACAAATTGAAGCCTCTGTTGCTGCCCTTGTTTTTAACATGTTTTTTATGTACCCTTTCTGTGAAAGGCCATTTTTAATGACTCATTATGCCATTTATCTTGAAGTGTGCTATGGAAGCAGCGTTTGCAGCTGTACTAGGGGCTGTCTGTGGCAGTTACAAAAGCCACTTAAGTTTGACAGAACACAGGCCTCAAACTTGTTTTTACCTAAATCCGGGGTTTACGCGCAAACTCTGCTCAGGCTTTAAGACTGAAAGAGAGTGGAGGTTGTGTCTGCCAGCCATATCCCTTCTGGTGAGATGAGATTAGCTGGAGCTCTTTGTCTGTGTTTTTGGGTGTGAATACATATTTCCCTTTTTATTTGGGTCTCCATTAGTTATCATTGTCAAACCAAACCTTGTTCCACTGTTCAGAAGCTTCTGTACACGTGCACGCTCATGTGTCCATGTTCCCACTGGCATTTTTGTGACTGGGTGCATCCATGTTTGCATGCTTGTGTGCATTTCCCACTTTTGTTCACACATGCAGGTGTGTGTCATGCACCTGCAAGTGTCTTTGTGTAGAGGCAGTTGGCCTTGAAGGCTAGGGGAGGTCTGGCAGTGCTCAGGGGCTCTTTATTTCCCAAAGAGGTGACCTTCATAATCAGCCGTGCTCAACCCTTCTGCTCAGGGCTTCTTCCAAGAAGGACTTAGCCTAAGGGTGCCACACCACCAGCCACCCCTTCAACCTCTCTCCCCAAACCCTCAAATCCAAATCTTTGCCTCAGCCCTCTGGCCCTCTACAACCTTGACAGAAAGGAGCTTGACTTGGCCTTTCAGCAAGGAGAGGTGAACAATAGCTGTCAGTCATCAAAGCTGGACACGCTACGGTTGAGGATTTGGACTGATAGTGGAACCAGGATAGGAATTAATATAGAAACTATGACACTCTATCATACTGTATATAGAGTGAGCATTTAAGTTGACAAAAAAAAGTCTGAAAGGAATGCTGATTGTTTTGTATCTGCATCATTTACATCTTTCATTTGGCTTGAAAAGCTTTTATTTCCAAGAGTTTTTAGAAAAGCTGGTTATAGTCATGTGCACAGAGACTTCTTTCAGTCTCTACTGCTGTTTGCTATTTCAAGTTGCTTTGTTTCACTCGTTATTCTGCAGTGAGCAGCGTTTGGCGCTTTAGACAGATCAGCAAGATTGAGTTTCTCTGCCATAACTCTTTGTTTAAGTAACAGCCAGAGGATCACCTGCACACACTTTTCTGTGTTAACATATGGGTAGGGATGGTCTTTAAACCAACTACCCAGTGCTTTCACTGTCAGCCTCACTAATTTAACATGGAATATATAATGAGCGATGGAACCACTAATTATAGCAGAACATGCTGACATCTGTAAGCATTACAACTGCACTCTTAGAGCTTACCTGACACGTCCACGCCAGGCGCTACACTGCAAACTCAACAGTTCCTGTAACGATTTCAGATGGAATACTATTGCGTGTCAGTAGAAACATTTGTATTGTTAAATATTTTTTCCAGGCATATCATATGCATCTGTACCCCTCTCACCTGTTTTTTGTTTCAGGTATTGAAATCTTAGCATTGCTGCTTGATCAGTCTGTTAAAAGTGATGGTAGTGGGTAGTAACAGGTTGACCACAGTTTACCTTTAGAACTAGCTTAATTCTTTGTGGAAACGTTTAGAGGAGATTGATCCATACTGACATGATAGCATCACACTGCTGCACATCCATGATGTGAATCTCCTAAGATGCAGCAGAGACATTTGCAGTTGTGACCTTGAGCATTAGCTTTGGTTATTGTGGTAGTCTGCACTCTGACCTAGTCCTACACGTAAACCCTGGCTAGTAAAAGCCTATCCAAACTTTTAACAAGAAAGTGAACAGAGTGCACATTCTGACGTGACTTGTTGGAATGAAATAAGTGTCATGTGAGACCTAGTTTTTAATTGACTGCCTGTTTTTATTTTAGGCCATATGGTTTTCCTCCAGATTTCATATACTGTTTTCTTACCTTAATTGGTCAGTTTCTCAATCTAACCTCTGTTTGATCCAAAGCCTTTCAAGGGAAATGAATTAATTTGTATTTGCATAGCCCAATGTCACAAATTTTCCACAGAGGGCTTTGCAAATTATTCCGCATTTCTTCTATGCTTTAACCCCTGATTAGAATAATTGGGGGAAGAACTCGCCTGTAAGAGTTTGAATAGTGAGGGAAAAACTCAAGTATTCATTTAATGCTCTTCTTCTTTCTTCCAGTGTAAAGGGAATATCTTTTGGTTTTCAGTTGGTATTCAGGCAACATGCTGGGGGGTTTTTTGCCTTTGAGAAACTGTGACAAAGCCCTTGAAGTTTTAAAGCTACCTCCTCTGCTCTGATCCATGCAGGTGAGGCCCATGATAAGGACGTCCAAGTTGTGGAGCTGCCCATAGTGGACAGTCTCCACCCTCGCCCTCCATACCTGCCCCTTGCGATCCCCGAGGACCTGGCCCCACGCTTGCAGCGTCTGCACGGCGACCCGTCCGTATGGTGGGTGTCCCAATTTGTCAAGTACCTGGTGCGTCCTCAGGCGTGGCTTGAGAAGGAGATCCAGCAGACCACTGCCAAGCTGGGCTTCAAACACCCCATAATTGGGTAAATATGTCCAGCTTTCTTGTCTGTATGTGCATGTTACTTTGCCGCTAAGTAATAATGGCTTTTTTTCTCTATAGCATTGCTCTACAGTAAACGAAATGAGAGAAAACAAAGACATAGCTGTGAGAGCTGTGGTGGAATACAAACACTGCTTTGGGTGAGGTTAATATGAGGTTAATAGAATAGTATTAAAATTAACTTAATTTGATAATCGTGTTTTGTTTGCTTATTTTTATTTATTTATTTTCTCTTACCTTCACCCTTAGAATGCTTTTGCTTTTTCCATTACCACACCGTCAATACTCAGACATCTTATATTCATGCAAATCAGCCTATTTAAAGAAATGTCATCACTCAGTACCCATCACTGAGTGTTTTTCTAATAGCAGTCGCATGCTATACCGGAGTGTCTCATTTTTATTGTAATGGCCCTATTACTAAATCCATGGAGAATACTGATTTGATATTTTGACTTATAAATATAAATAAATGCTAAAGGTGTGTGTGATTTCAGAATCAGTCAAACCTGACAAGAAAGCAGTACCTTTACAACGGTATTAAAAACGAGTGGCCTGGCAGCTTTTCTTTTACCTTCATCAGTCCTTGTTACCTAAAGGTTAAGCCTGGCTATTTTTATTTGTTGTTATGCTGAAGGAAGTCATAAAGAAAAATGAATCTATTCCACTAGCATGTGTTGTATGTAGCTTTCCACAATGAAGTTGAGAAATTATGCTCAAGCATCCTTTTTTATTATTGTTATTATTCTTTTAGCTATTTAAGATGCTGCATTTCAAAGTTTACTGTATGATCATTTGAGTGAAAAATCTTTGCGTTTTGGATTTGGCACATGTAGACGAAGGCCTTCTGTGGCTACCTGCTTGTCATGAAATGTTAGCAAACCAAAAAGAGAACTTCTAACAGCTGTTGTCTGACAGCCCTAATGTTTTTTGGGGTAAATTAGTTCGTCCATGTTTGGACATTTGTGTTGTAAACGCGCAAATCAGTCCGTGCGTGATTACATTGCACCGCCCATCAAAAAGTCTGCGCGTGCGCGAACATATCGCCCATCGTCGATTATTGGACTGATGATTGTCGGTTGAAAAATTTGTACATATCGCCCAACCCTAATTCATAATACTGAATACATTACAACTACCTGTTTACTATAAACTATAGTAGCATATGTAACATTCAGGGGAGCTTACAAACAAAATTTGGGAAAATGTTTTTCAGAAGCATTATGATATTCCACAGTTTCTTCTTGGCATCTCCCGGAGCATTGGAGAGCATTGTATGGTTCATATTTCAAAATGGTCATTAGTTATCTTTTACTAGACTTTGGTGCAGCCATTTCAGCTCCTCTCCCTACCGTTAAGACTCCTTTCTTTTGATTGGCTGTCCACTGCAAACAGAAGGTTTGAACGTCAAGTGAGTGGGGCTTAATAATAATAATAATAATGGATTGGATTTATATAGCGCTTTTCAAGGCACCCAAAGCGCTTTACAATGCCACTATTCATTCACACACTGGTGGAGGCAAGCTACGGTTGTAGCCACAGCTGCCCTGGGGCAGACTGACAGAAGCGAGGCTGCCATATCGCGCCATCGGCCCCTCTGGCCAACACCAGTAGGCGGTAGGGTAAAGTGTCTTGCCCAAGGACACAACGACCAGGACAGAGAGCCCGGGGATCTAACCGGCGACCTTCCGGTTACAGATACGCTTCCCAACCCCCTGAGCCACGGTCGCCCCATGGAAACAGTCATGTGACCTTATTGAGGATATCCTCTATCACTGGCATCATTCGAACCCGGGAGAAGAATAAAAGTACTGAGTATTTGGGGCAGTCGGAAGCCTGACTTTTATCTCACAGGGATTACTTTTACATCCAATGACCTCATTAGTTAAAACCTGTTTAATATGAACATCCGCCACTGTCACAGTACATATACAACAGAAAAATTATCGGTCCTCTTAAAATTTGACATTTACGAGGTTACAAATATTTAAATATTACTTTTTAGGAAACTTGGCATCAGCTGTGCAGATGAGATGAGAGCATCTTTGCCAAATATGTCATCAGCAGGTCTGATTTCAGTCATCGATAATGTGTTCGCTTTTATTCTTAATGCTTAGTGTTGTGCCACCTCCAGAGATTTGGCTCGCAATGCTTGATAGTGATTTGATACTCCTTATTGTCCAGCGCAGCATTGTTGAAAAGCATTCACAAGTATGACGAGATCCGTTCCCACGAGGGCCACTCCTTTGTGGGAACGCTCACAGTACTGTAAGCCACTTTTGACAGCAGCCTTCTAAGAAATGGGTTAGACATGTAGCTGTTTATTTACTTGTTTACTTTTCTCTGTATCCCTGTCAGGCACTCAGTCAACCAACATCCATGTGCTGTCTGCCAGCCCCTCTTGGCTCATAAATAATTCCTTCCTGCACCACTTCAAACCTGGATCAAATGAGACTTTGCGAATATATCTCGGCAGTTGTTTTAACCCTCTTGGTCTAGAAGTAGGGAGGAGGATTTTTATATATTAGGACAAGACACATAATCACTAGTAAGCTGTCAGTCATCTGAAAGTATGTGAAATGAGTGCCAGGCACTTTGCTGAGATCATCTTGAAATTCTGCTCCATCCCACGAGACTGACTCCTCCGCCTGGTGAAGGAAGTAGTTCAAAATAAAATTAAATTTAAAAAAAAAAAGCTAAGAGATATCTTCTAATATTTTTTGAAGTCAACCTGCATTAGTTCTGTCATCCTCTTCATAACTCTCACATCCATATGTTCCTAGTCTTTTGTGCCAGCTTCTCGGCCTTCATAACGTCTCTTTTTTCTTCTTTACATTTTGCTGCAAGCGAGCTTCCCAGGTCTCCTCACTTTTCCTGTCCTGCTTTAGTTCTCACTCCGGCTTGTTCCACTCACTCTCTTTCTTCCTCCGACTCTCTGTCCTTATTCTTTGTGGGCTTTTTTTTAACTTCTCTGCCTTTCATCACCCCTGCCACTGTGTCTCATTCTCCCCGTCCTCTTTTAGCCCCCCGCCCCTTCCTTTTTCACTTTTCTTTTTCAAATTCAGTGACTCATCCCAGCGTAGTCAATCTCTATGGGCTCAAAATGTGGTCATAAATATTTTGTACTTGTAATTCAGGATTTGTATGTGTAAAAAAGATTTGTGTGTGCGTAAAAAAGATTTGTGCGTGGACTTAGCCAAAAAAATCCCCTGCAAGTTACAAGTACGAATTCTGACCCTATTTTTCTTCCTTTCATCTGATTGGTCAATGTCATGTCAATCACAAATGTAACTGTAATACCCTTCAAGGACCTGCCGTTCAAAAAAAGCGCCCCTCCGACAGCCAAACCCATCTGTTCTCTGATTGGATTGTTACATTTGTGATTGACATGACATTGACCAATCAGATGAAAGGAAGAAAAATAGGGTCAAAAGTCCACACACAAATCTTTTTTACGCACACATAAATCTTTTTACACATACAAATCTTTTTTTACGCACACACAAATTCTGTTTACACATACAAAACTGATTAACAAGTACAAAATATTTATGACCACATTTTGAGCCCATAAATCTCTACCATCTTCTCACATCCGCTCATTTATGATTGTTCTTCTGTCTTCATTTGTTCATTCTGCTCCAGGAGTTTTCCCGTTTTTATGCTTCTCCCTCACTTCTTCCTCATGTTCCCAAGGCATAGATCTATACCCACAATTCTCTCATCATTTTCCACACATCTCTATCACAGTTCTTTGTGTTCCCCCCTCCCTACACACGTATATCCCACCCTTTTCTCCCTACATATCGCTGGGGAAAAGGGTTATTGAAATGAGGCGCTGGGTAGAACAAAGTTTTTATTCCTTTTCCCCCCTCTTCCCTTCTCAGCTCTTGATATAGCCACTCCACTGTGTAGTGATGTTACAACAAAGTGCCTGTGTGCTTCTATCAGCACTGTGGGGGAAGGCATTATAAGTGTGTCTGTAGAGTGGGGGGTTGGTGGATGTAAGATGTGAAAGTTGGACTGAAAGGAAAAGGCAAGAGGGCGGCACTGGTGGGAAAGGCTAGGGTTGATGGAGAGAGTACCAAGAGGGGATAGAAAGGCAGCTTGTCCCCAGAGCAACCAGCAACTGCCAGCCGACCTCACGTGCCTCAGCCACCACACCACCACTCATGCCCCGCTGCTCCCTTTGGATGCGAGCTGCAGAAAAGCTGGAAGCCACGGACTAAAAGCAGCAGGTCCGGCTTGCTGCGATTTAATATTAGAGGTACAGAGAGGGGAAAAAAGCAAGTGGGAACACTGCCACTACTGCAGATACAGAGGGGTTCCCAAGTGGTGAATTTACCATGAAGCCTTGTGTCATGTGTATTCTGTTTTTCCTTTTCTTTTTTTTGTAACAGCTTCTATTAGACTGCACACATTTAAAACCTATCAGCTCATTGTAAACTCAGGCTAAAATATATCTTTTGGAACAAACATTAAAAAAAAATCAATAATACAAAAATCTACATGAAAAAAAGCTGCTTCAGATATTTTTCACTGACATTTTTTCTGTCCTTAAAGAGACTCTAGTGTATAAACAGCAGCATATTTTCTTTTTATTCAACTTTTTTAAAGCTTTTTGGTTCCTTTGAAAATTACCTGGATTGTTTTTAATCTATCATCTATTACTCGTGAAGTAGCATCTTTTTTCCCTTTTTTGTGTTGGCGGTAATCTCATAATAGATGACATGCTAACAAATTTTAAAATGTGCTCATATGAAAAGCAAAACTGTAGTTTCCCGGGCCTTTCATATATATTATACATATCTGAGTTGATCTATTTTCTATATAAGGTCTGGTGTACACTAAAGGGAAAGTATAACCTTTTTTGTTTCATGAGTGCTCACCGAGCGTGATCTGGATCATGATATGACCATCACAGTCACCAAATATTCATCCATTAAAGTCATTTAGGGGTGATATAATAGCACTACCCACACTACCCATCACCAAATTGCCAACAGAGAATATAATTTAGTCTTTCATAGAGGCTTACTGTAGCACTGACAGCTCATTAGGATACTTGATGATGGCATTATATTTAATTTGTCATAATCTATAATTATGAGCACTGGAGATAAATCTTAATAACAACTTTGACATGTTTTGGTGTCAAAGTACAAGTTGCATCAGCGGTGATTCTACAGCTTTTGTGTATGTAATTATCATATGAGCTGTTTTCTAAAGATTCAAATGTTAATAGCAGCTACAGTTCCAAAGCCCAGCAGCCCAGAGCTCCGGTGGGCAGAGTACTGAGGTCATACTCAAACAAATAATTCATTTTGTCTGTATGCTATTGTCGTAGTCTGCCAGGATCAGCGCTTGCTGCGTCTAGGGTGCGGGTGTTTGATGTCTATAATGTATGTTTTTACACCCACCGTGAGAATTAGTCTGCCTTGGCAATATTGTATGAATAGGGAGGAGTGAATTGAATTATTGTGGCAGTTGTGTGGGAGAGCGCTGGTGGGATTGGGGGGGCTAAGAGCAAAGCAGTACCTCACAGCGGCCTCTGCCGCTCTGACAGAGAGAGAAAAGAGCGAGATAAAACGAGGGTTTGTGGGAACAAAAAAACGGGAGACATGAAAGAAGAGCAGGAGCAGGAGAGAGGCACCGTAACAAAGGATGGGAAAGCCTGATGTCGAGACCTCTGTCCGATCAGAGACATCGACGCTGAATGAAAGACTCACGGCGCCCATTCACCTGCTGTTCTCACCTCCATTCTGTGGGTTTCATTGCCACGTAAATAAAGGCGAGCAAACTCAATAGTTACTGATTGATCTGTGGCCAGCGGTAGAAATTAGAGACAAAGTGTTTATTCTCTCAACGTCTAACTTTTTCTACTTCTGTTTCATTCTCACAAAAGAGATCAAGGCAATCGGGAGGTCACAGAACTTTTTCAACTCCCAAAGCAGCTGAGAGATCCCGAATAAGTGGAAGTAAAAGACTAATAGGTTTCACCTAGGTGCCTCTGACTGTAGATTTTGCAGTGGAACTGCTTCTTGTCCAGCAGCAGACAGCTGGTTGTACTGGCCAGCTCCCATAGCGGAATTATATTAATGTGGAAAAGGCACACATGTTTGCCCCACCCCCCAAAAAAAGAAGTGAACACTTAAAATGTCTTTTTCTCCAGTCTCATATTTATAAATTTCATTTTCTCCCTGAGGGCAGAAGTCACAATGTAGATATAGCTGGGTAGCTGTGTAAGTGAATAGTTATGGTTGGAATAAAATTGTGTTTCTGCACCCATCAGGTTGACAGATGGTTTTGTGTCCGAGGAGGAGTTCTCATCGTTTGTTCCGTTTTCAAGCTGTGCTCTTTTTGTCAGATGTACAGCAGTGACAGCACTCTCTCTTTGTCCTTTCTTACTGGAAGCGAGGACAAGGATACTTTAAAAAAAAAAAGAAAGAAAGAAAGGAATAAAAACAGCTGGGTTGGTTATTGCTCTTTCTGTCCATTTTTCTGTCTCGCTACATCCTTTAAACTCCTCTCTTGTCACTGTTGGCCTTTCTTGTTTACTTTGTCTCTATCCTAGCATTTTTTTTGTGGGTGTGCATTTACACTAACAATGGAAAGATTCCCCAAACATGCCGTTAAAATAAAAGTGCTGTTTCCTTTTTACGTTTGCAGCAGAATAAATGCAGTTGTGAACAAAACATGAATTTACTGTTATTTTGAGATCGGTGTGGATTTAAAACTAGGTTTCGTCAATGACGGTAACACAAAAAAAGTGTATTTTCTTTTCTCGTCACGACCGTGTGCTTCTTTTCCCCCCGACTGTTATTGGCTTCTAACCGTTTTGAAAATAAATCCCTTAACTTTGTCACCTCAGTTAATCTGAATGTTTTCCATTCCTCATTATTAGGAACTTTGGTCATATCTATTGAACATCCATCAGCATTGCAGTCCTGTGAAAGTTTTCACTGGACTCTATGCAGTCTTTTTCAGCCACTCTGTTGTAGATTTACTCCTGTGCTTATGACCATTGTCCTGATGCATGACTCGGGACGGCCAAGCTTTTGGTGTCATACATGTGGCCTCTTTCACTCTTAAATACTTTGGTAGGAGTTCATTATCATGGCGCCGTGTTTTATGGTCAAACATCTCCACTTTTATTTGTCTAAAGGACATTTTTCCAGTCTTGTGGTTTGTGCGTTTTCCTAGAAACCCTTCAAGATGAGCCATACTTGTCTTTTTCTCATATTTTGGTGACAGCTCCACACTAGCGAAATGCCACAACCTGTGCTCTTTATAGAGGCAGCCGCATGTGGTGATGATCAATAAACCAGGTTCATCTGATTATCACACTTGGTTGCTACTTGCACTTGTAATTCCTTTGGAAGTCATAAGAGTTTAGGTTCCCTGAATGTGTTTAAATATAGACGTGTTTTTTCTTTATTTATTTATTTAGTTTTGGGGGTTTTTTGTAAGGCGCAGTAAAAATATTGTGATCAATCGCCGGAATCTTCAAAATACTTCAGCAGTTGTACATGTTCCAGTTATTGTAGATTACATTTTTAGCTTAGTCAACCAGTAACCAGTATTGAAACAAAATATGTTCCTCCGGCAATGTAAGCACAAGAACTAGGCACCGTGTAACGCAATTATGAGTTGCACCATCATAACTGTGTTACGACTGTTTTATGGCCTGGAGAGAAAATGCCGAACGTTTCAACACAGACTTCATTCAAGATATCAGAAAGCCAAGCAAATAACCAGTTTAATGCAATGAAAAACCTTTTGATTAGTCGTAACTTAATGGTGTAAGTTTAACATAGATGACTAATTTGTTGCCCTATCTTTGTCTCTCTCTGTCTCCAGAGTCCATGTGAGGAGGACAGATAAAGTGGGGACTGAGGCAGCCTTCCACCCCATAGAGGAGTACATGCTGCATGTGGAGGAGCAGTTCCAACATCTGGCCAGGCGTGTTCATGTCGACAAGAAACGGGTTTACCTAGCTACCGATGACCCATCTTTGCTGCAAGAAGCTAAGACCAAGTCAGTGTCTAGGAGTGTGTGCGTGTGTGTAATCTGTAAGAGTGTTTATGTCCGACTGATGCGTACGTGACAGCGTGTTTTTGTATCTGCCCGTGTTCATTTTGTTTCCTTAGTGTGTATTTGAAGTATTTATTTGTGTTTCCGTGTGCATATCACTTTCAGGTACCCAGACTATGAGTTCATTAGCGACAACTCCATCTCGTGGTCGGCCGGCCTCCACAACCGCTACACCGAGAACTCACTTAGAGGAGTCATTCTTGACATCCACTTCCTCTCCCAAACCGACTTCTTGGTCTGCACTTTCTCTTCGCAGGTCAGTTCACGCTTTCCAGTTCATTTTTGGAGAGAGCACGAAACGGTGTCTTTGATATGTTTTCACATGAAACTGAAGGTCAGGATGGATTTGATGTTGGGATGAAAGCAGCTCGGAGTAACTCGGAGAGCTGACTGGAATGTTGATGCTTTCAGACACGGAGGCGAGAAAGCAAATATGGTTGATGTGGAGTAAAAATAAACCTTGTAATCTGTCAGGATGTGCTGTTAACTATATTTCAAGTATTCTCAAGCTTACGCATAAAGGTTCTTTTCATAACCTGCGTAAAAGCTGCTTTATTGATAAGACCTGCAGCCTTTCTGTTGTCAGCATCTTATATTTCGCCTTTGTAGTGTGCTCGCACACTCTGAGGTGTAGTTTAGCTTTGGCCAAAACAATAACGAGGCATGGACGACACTTTCCCCGCACTATTATGTTGCCTGCGATTTGTTTTGTACACTAACTAAAAAAGTGTTTATACTATATACCCAAGTAGAAGTATATTGATAGTGAATTTGATTTGGCTGGCTTATAGCCAGCGCCTTACTTTGTTCTTGGCTAGTGCTGGAATAGTGAAATATATAAAATCAGCACCACTTAGCACAGGGGTGTCAAACTCAGTCACAGAAAATTAATACCTGGATCCAACTCAAACAGCCACACTGTGTTGATATTTATTGAAAAACATACTTGAATTTATTGTGTTTTTTCAGCTGTTCTTCTCCCAAGACTTCTTAGAATTCAGATTTAAGATCTAAACGGCTCTGAGAGAGCAAACAAACAGATGAGATCACATTAAAAATAAAAGATACATAAGTGACATTAGTTTTTGTGTCTTACTTTCTTTAAAGTCTGAGTCATTTCTAATGAAATTATTTTCTCACAGCTTGTAGGCGGAGCTGGGGCATCGTTTTGGCGATAAAACGTGGGAACTGCGCAGCGCCCACGTAGCCATACTTTGTCTTGAGTGTTTCACTAAACTGGAGTTTGATCAGTTTGATTTAAATGTTTGTAGGTGCTCTTTCCAGAATGACTTGCTGAGAAAGTGAAACTTACTTTTCTGGGCAAATCTCCACGTGCAAATCTTCATGTACTATGCATGCTCAGTTTTTTTTCAGCAAAACGTCCACTTGTAGCAAATGTAGCAGTAGAGATCTGTTTTGTCATTGATTGGCAGCATGCAGGAAGAGACCAGCGTTTCCCGCTTTTCCCACATTTTAAGAGCTCCGACTGCAGCGTACATGTCCATACTCACACGGTCCCGCTCCCGAAGCCGGAGGTTTAGCGCTTTGAGATGTTTCATTATGTTGCACAGAAACCCCAACTCACACTGCCACTTTTCATGTCAGAGCTCTGTGGCGTCTCTCCCCTTGCTTTCCATGTACTGACAAATTTCCTCAGACAACTCGAAACATCTGTTCAGCACTTTCCATCGGCTTAGCCATCGCACCTCAGTGTGACGGGGCTTCACGTTGGGAGCTCACCTCCTCCAGAGGTGATGGAAATTAGCGACGATTCAAACCTTTGGCTCATGTAAAGTAAACTGTGGGTGTTGCTGTGCTCATTACATGTTTAGTTTTTAAGAGTTTTACCACACAAACCTTCCTGGTGTGTGACGCAGTGTGCAGTTTTTCTTTCAGCATGCTCACACGGCTGCTCTTCTCTCTGCACATAGCGGGCACTCCTGTCTGCTTAAGCTTCACCTCAAAAACTGCTTGCTTTTTGACTTTGACACATGACATTGTGCACTTTAACCATATTTTGGTTCAAAAACTCAACTTCAGTAAATGCTGCGATGTAGTTATTTCTTCCACCACAGTAAATCTGTTACAGCAGCTTTACTTTGAGATTTGGTTTTTGTCTGCTGTGACACCAGACTATTTTTTTCTTTTTCTTTTTTTTGTTTTTAACTCTTCTACCTTCTGGAGTTTCTGCTGTATGTGCACACCCCAGTGCTTGTTTTGGTGCTTCGTTTGCTCATGTCGTCTGATGGTATTTTCTTTCATTTTTCCACATGAGCTCCACACATAAAGGATAAACCTGTTTGTCTTATGTTATTGAGCAGATGCTCTTCCTCCCACCTGTATTTAAAGTCCGGCTTTTGTTCGTTCATTTCTTTAACTCAAAACAACTGGACAATCACAGGACTCTGCTTATGTCAATCAAGAGTCAGGAGGCCATAATTAACATGCCAACATACCAGCTATCGCAATACAGCCTGGGTGTAGTCCAACTGGTGTGCTTGTGCATGAGAGACGCATTATAGCTGGCACTTTATATAACTTAAAGGACCACAGGCCTTGCATTTAGCATGTGGGATTTAGCATTTAGCATACTACATACCATATTATGATGATAGCGTTAGCTTTCCCCATGTAGCATTTACCCTCTGACTGGATTTTTTTTTTTTTTTTTTTTAAATCAAAAACATTAACAAATACACATGACTTCATGCTTGGATTGCATGACGTTTTCTACCATATTGGGGATTGAGCACCTCAATATGAACCCACCAGTCACTAGGGAAGATCATGTATTTCCAGACTAACTGACAAATGTATCCTCGAGGTTCTTGGCTGTCACTCGGTGAAGCCGGTCATATTATGGTTGTTTAGTTTTCATGGAAGCCACTGACTTATTTGCAAACACTTGCTAACTACCAGCCTTTTGACTTTAAACAATGTAACACAAACCAGAAATGTAGCCAGCACATTTTAAAAGGCAAAACTTTTATTTTGAAGGGGAATTTTTCTCCATCTCTGGTTTGGATCATGCTTATCACAATTTCACTGGTGTGTTTGTAGAGAAGTCTGCTTTTTTTCATTCAAACTACAGGCGAGCGTGCAAATCTGCTAGCAAGCAAAGCAATCACGAGGAGGTTTGTGCCAACATGTCAGGGAATACACATTTTTCCATAGCAACCAGTGGTTTCTAGGGAGTTACTGACTGGTCTCTAGGTCTGTGTAATAGAGGCTTTACCAGGTGATTTCCTAGCATAATACTTGCAAACCAGACTGGGAATTCACATTTTCTGTCATGTAGTGACAGTAATAGAAGGATGTTCGTGGTCCAGGAGTCTATAGTGATTAATGGACTCCACATCAACAAGCTGTCGTTAGCTAGCATTGCTCACTATTGACACCACTGCAGAGCTGAAGCGCCACGGCACTCTGGAGCAAGCATTAAATTCCTGTTCTTTGCTTATCCACAAATTAATGCTCCTTACACTGAGATCAGTCCAAAGTCGGTGAGAGGCACCTGAGAGAGTCGGTACACATTCATAAATGTGCTGTAGGAATAAAAAGTCAAAAGTCAAAAATGTGAGGAAGCTGTCGAATTTATCAGTGTGAAACACTTTGATAATCAGTCATGTGGTCACCAACAAACACACAGTTCCCATCCATAAGTCACTTACCATGTTCTATGTCTCTTTGGCTAGGACTGAAAATGTATATGTCGAAGTCCCTCTTCGTCTTTCAACACGATTATCACCAAGACGGCTTGAGATCTTGAGCATGTATGGATGTTTCTATAAAAATAACACCTGGCTGTGCTTCTGTTTCAGGTCTGCCGTGTGGCTTATGAGATTATGCAGACACTGCATCCAGATGCCTCCTCCTTCTTCTACTCTCTGGATGACATCTACTACTTCGGAGGTCAAAACGCCCACAATCAGATTGCCGTCTACCCCCACCAGCCCCGCAATAGCGAGGACATTCCCCTGGAGCCCGGCGACGTGATCGGCGTGGCCGGGAACCACTGGGACGGCTACTCCAAAGGCATCAACCGCAAACTGGGCCGCACCGGCCTCTACCCTTCCTACAAGGTCAGAGAGAAAATCGAGACCGTGAAGTACCCGACGTACCCCGAGGCAGACAAACTGCTCAACTCTCAAAATAAGTAAAAGAAGAAATGATCGAAAAAAAATTAAGAGAAGGAGTGAGGAAAAAAAACATGTAGTCTCCGATTCCAGAGAAGGAGGCTGCTTTTGTACAGAAGAGAGAGGCGTACTTAGTGCGCTAAGCTGAGAAGAAAAGAGGAAGCCTGTACCCAGGGGTGATAGGAATGCGAATGCACTCTGTGTGTTAATGCGTGAGCGTGAATGTGTGTGTATGTGGGAGAGAACGCGTGTGCGCACTTGTGTAAATGCCTGTGCATATGTCAGGTCATGGAAGACTTGCACCCTACCACTACTCCCCCGCCTGACGTTCTGATATCGGGTCCGTAGACATTTAGACGTGAACATTGATTTTAAATAAAGCAAGAAAACAATTAAAAATCTACACAACCGACCGAGCTGTCTCTCTCCCGAGACGGCGCCGGGACTACTGTAGAGTGAGCTTCGAATCAATGACTGAGGAGAAAAAAAATGACAAACTGGAAAAGAAGTGTTTTGATTTTTTTTTTTTTTAATTTAATTATTTTCAGTGGTTTTGATTCTAATCTTGCCTTTTTTTGTTGTTCGTTTTCTCTTGTTTTTGTTTACTGAATGTACTGGACCCTCTTCTCGCCACGCTCACCGCACCTACACCCCCCTCGATCCCCTTCCTCCTTTACCCCTCTTACTGTGCTTCCTCCATCTCGTCTCTTCACGTGCAATTAATTTTACAATACCATGTTGTGCTTTTATCAAGTGTCTTTTTAAGGTCTTAATTTTGTATGTATGGGGCTTGTGCATTGTATACTGTACTGTGTCCGTGTGTGTGTTGAAAGAGAGGATGAATGGGTGCGATCAAAGTGTGCCTGTGTGTGCTGTTTAAATCTAAGGGGCCATGTCATGACCAGGTGCCTGGTTACTGGTGAGCAGTTTTGGGGGGTTTTTTTGTTGTTTTTTTTATTTCTTCCTTCCCCGAATGAATGTTTGTGCAGTTGAGACTGGCAGCGACAGTGGGGACTGTCCTCATCCCCTCAGAACAACGGGGAACGCCAGTCACTCCGCCGGTAACGAACAATGGTAAAATTATGTGGAGTGTGGTGAACTCACAGTGCACGCGCACAGACACCCACGCAGACACAAGAGCCGTCCCGGGGCTCACCAAACGAAGCACTCCACTGAGAAAATGTCCTTTTCGGCATCTTTGCTGTTTCTTCTGTCCATCTGTTTTTCTTTTTGTTTGTTGTTTGTTTTTTAAAATTTTAACATTGCTATTTTAAAATAAATGAGGAAAATATGCCTATGTTGAAAATAATAATGATATGTCATATCAAAATTCCCCATCATGAAGGCTTTTTTGTTTTTCATAACTTATGTTCTTGGGCATTGTCTTTGATAACCACAGATCGAATAAACTTGAGAAACCAACACTGCATTTTTTTCCCCTCTGGTCTGGTTCTGTTCACCATCTGCTCCTCCGTCTCTTAACTCTCAACAAGCGCTTCACTCAATCAGGCTAAACATGCTTCAGCTACACTGCACTCATTACAAGCTGAGAATCGAGGCTTCATATTCTGAAGGGCATCTATCCATTTTTCGAGAGCATAACTCATCGCCCGAAGTTGATCTTTCAGTATCTCCTTTAAAAAAATTTAAAAAAAAACAGGAGAACCTTGACTCTTATCGGCGCAACTTGTGCTGAACATTGGGGGGGGGTCAAGATCGCTGTCTAAGTAAATAAATAAAATCTGGGTAAATTCCCAGATGATTAAACATGCAACTATTTTGCTGGTAATACCTCAAATTAGTGAAGAAAATCAACAGCCTATTTATGCAAGATGATTCATAATTTTATTGAGGGGGTTATATTGGTTGGGTCTGATTATTGGGGGGGGGCCCCCCTAACCCCCCTGGAAGTTACGCCCCTGCCAACTCTCAAAGTCAGCGGTCTCCAACCCCCGGGCCTCGGACCAGTACCGGTCCGTGAGTCGTTTGGTACCGGGCCGCGAGAGTTGAGGCTCAGGTGTGAAATGTATGGTTTTCAGGGTTTTTATCAGTTTTCAGCGTTATTTTTTTATCGTTTTTATCGTTCACTCGGTTTTCTTGGGTCTTTTCACGTGTCTTATGAATAAATCTTCTTTTTTTCGGTACTGGTACTAGTTTTATTTTGTTGTATTTATCCGCGACACCTTAAAGGCCGTGAAAATATTGTCGGGCATAAACCGGTCCGTGGTGCAAAAAAGGTTGGGGGCCGCTGCCCAAAGTGATATCGTTTTGGAACCCTCAGATTAGAGCCAACTCCTAACTTCAAAAGCAGCAGTAGTTTGTTTTATAAATCATTCAGCAAGAGAGTGAATTTATTTGAGTCATTTCAAAGCAAGAACTCTTTAAATTTGTCTTTTGATTTACATTTCAAACTGAACACCAAGATCACTACCTTCACAACTGAGACATTGCCATCCTTCATTTAAATATAGCTTGTGACAGCTACATGACATTTCTGCCCCAAATGCCAAACAGGTTTCCCTGTGGGCTCACAATGTAGGTACGTCAGCGAGGCATTCATAAACTTCCTGCTCTTGTCTGCTGTCCTATTTCCTACTTCCTGCGTGTCTAAATCGTTTATGATCTTGTTCTCTGTGTCTTATTTATGGGCTGTCTTGTTACTTTCTTACTCAGGGGGCTCTGGGAGTTTCATTACAGATCCCTCTTTAATTTCGACGCTGATCTGCATGCTTCATTGGACACCCATAAGGAAAGCCGTGGTACTGGTAGAGATGATGAGCTTTTTGGTACGATTGAGGGAGAATAATAGTTTTATTGCTTTTTTTTTTTTTCCCCCTCCCCCTCCAACGCTTGACAACAATCCACAACCAATTTAGCCCACGTTGACAAAGCGTTCACAATGCACATGCAGTGTGCAGCAGTTCATTGAACATCTCTTTTTCCCTGGAAAAAGAGTCCCTCGTGGGCTTTATATAAACGCAGCTAACTGGAGGGCACTTTAATTAAAATACACTCGTTGCTGTCACAGTGGCCTGTAACAGTTGTTTAAGAGAGACGTTAGTTCAGTTAATTATTCTGTTAATTGGCCACCGCTCCTGATAGAAAGCGTTCAGATTTTGCAGCAGGCAGCTTTCTTTCTCTGCACTTCTGGTGTAATTGTTGCACGGCTCTTTGAAAACACTGCAAGGCCATTTGTGTACCCCCCACATGCAGTTGTGTGTTAAAAGGGAAATTTTCGCAACTGATTACCTCACTCAGTTCCAAATGCATGCGTTTTCTCCACAGTTCCAGCATTTTTTTTTTTCGGTTCTCCCTTAGACTAATAGAGCAATATTCACACAAACATAGAGTTAAAAGACAAACTTCCTGCCAGTCGTAAAGAGACCCCCTATCAATGTGATTACACTGCAACAGATAAAAACCAGAAGCATAGAAAACTGTCCTCACTGACAGCAATTCTGAGTTATGAACAAAACGCTAACCAGAGCGTCCTAATATGTAAGTTTGTAGGTGACTGCATGTACAGTTCACCATAGAAAGTTCATGATGTTAAGGTACAGCTCATGGTAATGGCAGTTGTTTAAAAGAACAACTTAAATATCTAAAGTTCATAACAATTCAACCATACTAGAGATGGCACGATACCACTTTTTTATGTCCGATACCGATATCATAAATTTGGATATCTGCCGATACCGATATGAATCCGATATAGTGTTTTTTAATCAACAAAACTGTTTTTTAAATATCTTGCTGCATTTTGTATAAGTTCATACTCAAGTTTAAAACAACAACTACACTAAAGCTATTCTGTTATACCTGTATGCAAAAAAAAATATTTCATAGTTCAGCAATACTGATCAATCTAATAAACTTAAACCTACACCATCCTCCCTATTCTGGTATTTTAAAGAGTACTTAGCGTAAATATTAAGCAACCTAACTAATAGGGTTCCAACTCCCAGCAACAACAAAAATAAATAAATAAAAAATAGGGAACCACCCCTCACGCTCCACCTCATGATGCTTAATCGACGTAATCAACCTTAATTTGATGCAGTGTGAAAAAAAATGCACAGAAATCAATTATTTTTCAAGAAATATTAAATAGATTCAACATCTTTCTTCAACAAAATTGCAGACTGCACAGATGGTACCTTCCCAAAGTAAAAAGTACTATAGCTTACTAGGGTATATATATTAGACTTAATAGTCACTATATACAGTAATTGACTTCTATTCATTTTGCATCAAATTAAAACTTTGGGTGTCAGATAATTATTTATTAAAAGCTCGACATTTTAAATGAGAATAAGAAAGAAAAGTATGTCTTAGGGCATGAACAGTGAAAAGGGGGCACAATCGGCCCCCCTGGCTAAACTTTGCTAGATCCGCCCCTGCACAGTTACCAGCCGTCAGCTACGTAGAAAAAGATCCTGGTGTAGAAAGTAATATTAAATAAATTCTAACAACAGCTTATCAAGCTTAAACGTGCTGCTGTTGTTCAGCCGCTGGTTTCCTCTTTCTGGTGCGAAGTGGGCCAAAAACAAGAGACGGACTCGCGACAGAAAAGACTGATCAGCTGATCATTTAAGCAGTTTCACGATTGAAGTACCAGCCAGAGCGAGAGGCAGTCGCTCGTTAAGCTTAGCGTGGGAATGCTTTACAAACATTCAGAGATGGACTTACACGCTTGCTTTACTTCTCTCGGGGATAACTTTGTCGGAGATGAAATGCTAGCGGAGATGAAATGCCGGTTGCTAGCGAAGCTCCACATGCTATCCAGACCACCGACAGGTCCCGCATGCCACAGCGCTCTATCACGTGATGCACACTGCTCCAACGTGCTAACGTTCTGCGGTGAGTTACGGCGTGTTGCAAGTTTTGTGAGGTGCTTTCGTGATATTTAATGGATCGGATTACATTTTTTATTTTTCTCCGATATCCGATCCAGTCATTTAGGTCAGTATCGGACCGATACCGATACGTAATATCGGATCGGTCCATCTCTAAACCATACCTGGATATTTCACTTTCAGCATGAAAAAGTGAGCACCTAAGTTGGTGGAGGTCAATACCTGCAAATGAAATAACATGTTTTTTTTCTGTATATTTCTGTCTGGACCAAAGAAATTGATAAATCAGTCCAAAATTATTTAATTATATTTATAGAGAGATAAAACCGAAGCCTCTAAACTGTTCAGTTACACTAGTGTAAAAATAGGTTGTCAGGCTTCTTTAGGAATAACTGGTAATTGCCTGCTCATTCACGTTGGTTGCCCAGAGGTTGAGGTTGTTACACGCTCCACTACTGGTTGCAAGGCAATTGCACAGTTCACCTGGTGTGAGGCGACCCGTCTTCAAACCTTAAAACTGACTCCAATCTCTCTTAGACAAACTGACAAAGGTTTGCAAATAATTACCATCTTGCCAAGCACCGATGTCATTTTACAGTTAAATTGCTGGTCTGCAGCAGCTACAGGTTTATTAATTGGATGGTTTATCGACCCCACGAGGAAATTATTGTGTTACAACAGCAGGTTTTATAATTGCCAACTTGACCTGATTCAACCGCAGACTGATAGCAGTCGGCCTTGGTGCTTTTTCCCATTTTTATGTCTTCTTGACGCACCAAAATCATTCTGTCTTTGAAGCAACCATTTCAAAATTAAAAAGATTGCAAGTTCATTGCACACGGTTTCAAGAATTTCATCCTTGCCTCGGTCTCCAGTCATCATTTTCTCTTGTGTGACTTTAGCACAAGAGGAAGAGACCATCAACAGAACGAGGCTCAGGAAGGGGAAACCATCTGCCGCAACTTGTTGGGCTGGCGAGAGGAACAAGATGACAGAAGAAGAAGAAAAGACTATAAAGAGAATAGACTTCAGAGAATAGACAAGCAAGATCCTTGCCATGCATAAAATCAAGAGGCTAGTGTGTCGAGCATTTAAATCAGACAAGCTCGGACTGGGAAAGCTTCATTTTGGCTCTTGCTGATCTGATCTCAAGGACTTCGCATTGCCCTCTTTCTTACAGTTAAATGACCTGAAGGTGACGATTACTTCAGAGCCAATCTGGTGACTGATAACTCTTGTGATTGTTGTTTCAAAAATGTGAGCCTACCTTTTAAGTTTGTGGGAACAGACTGGGATTTCAATGTGGCTGTGTAACTGATGGAATTCATATTATAGATAAGTGGTTTCCCCGTCGCCTTGTGGAATTCTAATCTTGTAAAGGGCAGCTGAATTAATTCTGACTGACTCATGAAAAAAGGGAGAGGGAATGGAAATGATTATTGTAGTCCAGGCTGGCTCCAATCAGTACTCTGTTGGCACAGCAGTAACAAGTGAAGTCTGCCCCACGGTAGCTGGCCCACATCAAAGCTGAGGGGAGGAACTCCAACTAGAAACGGTCAGGTTTTTACAGGGC